GTGTTTATGTATAAAGCCAGGAGCAATTTATTACCTGGTGGAATTCAAAAACTATTTAATGAAAGGGAAGGGGGATACAATTTAAGGGGTCAGTTAAATTTAAAAATTCATGCTATACGTACAACCAAAAAAAGATTCTGTATTTCTATAAGTGGGGTAAAACTATGGAATAATTTAAGTGTAGACATAAAAAATAGTAATAGAATTGACGAGTTTAAACATAAATATAAAGGTATGTGTCAATCAAGATATATGCAAGAACAGGCTTAATGATTAATTAGATGGAACATTGTGGGTGTGGTGTATGAATGTTAATACTCTGTAATAATTCTTTAGCACATTACTTGTGTGGTGTAGAAGATAATTATTTAAGAATGTAATTATGTAAGAATGTTAACACTTTGTTATAATTTCTTTAGTATATTACTTGTGTGGTGTAGAAGAGAATTATTTATGTAGAGATACTGCTTGCAAACCAATGATGGTAAGATGATGTCATGGGGTAGGACTGGATAAGTGACTTCTTCCGACTCCATTCAAGCATGTTCTAGGTATAAGCAAATTGATATTGGATTAGCATTTGTTGGATATGTGTAAAATTATGTGTGTTGACATATCAACCGTCTTTACATGCTTGAAATAAATAAATCAAAAATAAATCAAATAATGCATGCCCTAACCCCTCATTGTAACTGTAACAATAACCGCCAGTGCCTGACCCCTAAGCTCACCTGAACCCTCAAACAGTCCTTTGAAGAGGAGTCAAACAATGAGGCCCGGCCATAATGTCCTCACTCCCATGGTATAAATCGCACACAAGTCCTCACAATGTATAGCCATACAAGTACACACACACACACACACACACACACAATCCTGCTTCCCTCTGTGATCTGCCTCTTTTTGAAGTCACTCCTCATCTAAAGGAGTGAATGAGGGGCAGCTGGGGGAGAGGAATGAGGAACATGCTGTTGATGCAGCGACAACGTGAAAGCATGGCTGAGCGCTGCTTAACGTCACCTGCTGACGGTCAGATAGGTCAGGCTATGTGACACAGTCAGGGGCTGCAAGAATTTGTGCATCATGAGGTCAGTCCTGTTAGATCAAAGCTGTGGTCTCCATGGATCCAGGAAGGCACCTGAAAAATGCCGAGCTGCTCTGTAACGCAGCTATTCACTTATTAATGCACACGGACAGAGTGGCCCTGACAAAACCTAAGACAGTTCAGTCCACTTTGCTCAGATGTAACCTCAAATACATCCCTTTATTTTCACTCATGTAAATACAGTGGCTGTGAGGGGTTTTCCCCATATAGGGTTTATCATAAAGATACACAACCTGACAGAGGCAGAGAACAGTGCTCTAGAGAAAGTTAGGCAGTTTAGTCTTGTCTAGTGTAGTTTAAAAGTAGCTGAACTAGCCCTAACAGCAGAAATGCTGCTCTTGTAGGGCAGTAGCCTATACACTAACAAGTGTACACTAAGGTGAAGAATTAAACTAGAAGTGCTACCTTTTCCTTCCAAGTAGTGCAAGTACATCACAGCAGTCACAGACAGGTAACAAATGAAGTTTCAGAGTTGTGGTTAATTTATAATCAGGTGTAGCCTGAGTGGCAGATATAAACTTAACCAATGTTACAAAAGAAAAGGCTGTATTGTGTCAGTGGGTGGAGGCTCCCCTATAGAAAGGGGCACACCATTAAAATGATTTAAACTGTTGAGGATGCATCAAAGACCAAGACGGATACATGACAAAATACTGTACATGTAGTGTGTTCAAAGTTCATTGTTGATTTTAGAATAAACTTTGAAGCCACTGTGAATAAAAAACCTTTAAAATATGAACATCTGCTGATGAAGACTATCTGATTGAAAGCTCCACAACGACTAACTTACTAACTTAACCTTGAGGAGAGATCATTCTCACAAGTGAAGGAGTCATTGTAGACTTCAATACAAGACACTATCAGGCAGGCTTTAATGCAATAATCTTTATTCACTGCAATATTCACTAGTTACCAGCCACTTGTCTCATTTGGATCATTTGAAAATCTAGTTGAGTGCAGGTGTCCTCCAGGATGAGTTAAAGTCCCTTTTGTGAAGCGCAGCAAAGATTTAAGTGCTCTTTCTCTCTCTACTCAAGCCTGCAAGGCCGAGCTCTTCAGACGTCTGTTGCCATCAGTTCACACATCACCACGCGGCAGCTGTCTTATTTCTTACCTGAGTGAGAAACAAGAGACAACAAATGATTTGTCCTGTCAATTGACAGACAATACAAATTAGCTGTGCCCTTTGTTTAAGCACTGGCACAGTGTTCAGAAAAATACAGTTATGAGAGAAATGTCTGTGCATCTAACAACAAGAGAAAGCAAAGGTAGAACAGGCAGGGATCTCTGCACGGAGCATGACCAGATGTTCTGCCAATAATCATTTTATATTTTTAATATTTTAGAACAGTTTACTATTGCATTCAGCCAATTTCTCTTTCTGTTTTTAATTCTGTGCAGCTTCTTCTGGTGTGTGCTGTTGTATAATTCAAAACAAATTGCTATCCTGGACAGGCACATCAACAAAAAACACAACTTCTAAACAATACAAGTTTTTTATTTTAAAAATAAATTAATCCAAAACACACCCACCAAGCTCATACACGTCATCTACTCTGTGCCAAATTGAAGTAAGTCTTCAAAAAGCATGCTGTTTAGAACCCATAGTGAATTTGGATATCCAGTGAAAATCAATTAAAAACATGTACAATACAGGGCTGCTTGTCCAAAAGCCTTGTGAAACATACAGAATGTACTACCTCCTGTCAACATGGCATCGATCATCACGATGCCCTCTCTACACTTCCACACCTGGAGTCTATAACTCTTGGTTCAGCCCCCTTCCTTCTGTCATTGTCTTTCCTCATGAAAGAGGATGAAGCCACATCTTTCTTAGAAGGCGCATATGGATGCACCCAGAGATCAGCCAGAAATAATATGCACACAACACACACACACAGAAAGAGAGAGAGAGAGAGAGAGAGAGAAGGCCAATGATACTCTAAACAAAAGCATCAACAGAGTGACCATCAGAAACACCACAACAGAGACGCGCCGTGCCTAAACTGATCACAGGGCCTCGTGCTTTGTGATGTGGCCCAGCAACAGGCCCCCCCTCTGGGCCCGCGGTGTCTGTAGTTGTCTCCTGGGCTGGAGCAGGGGGGTGACCATCCACGGCTAATGGCTTCATCCTAACATGCATCACCATCTTCTGAGTCATGAGGAACTCTGCTTTCAAAAGGCCATTTCCTATTGACTGTTTTGTGATAAAAACACACTCAAAACCACAATCATGTGGCTCAAAGCCTTCTCTTCTTCTTCAGGAAAAAGGAAGCAATCTCTGAGCAGGAAGGCCCGAGGGTGTAACACTTTGCTGCTTTCACACCTAACCTGCTCGGTGTGGTTCACATGATCTCTGGTGTGTTTGCCTGTTTGTTTGGGGCTGGTTGTCATTCAAGCTGTCACTCAAACTCTGGTGCAGAGTAAACCATTAAACCTGAGGCTGCCTGAAAGGGTGGGTGGACTGTGGCGCTGTGAAAGATCAACCACATGACTGTCTGACAGTAGAAACTTGTTTCAATTAGCTGAATTATGATTAAAGTGAAGCAAGTGACGTGTGTCAGTTACTACAGTGAGCAGGATATGGGACAATTTTTTCCAGTCTAAAATATGTGTGAAAATGCAGAGTTAATATACTGTTGTCACATTGTTTTGTGAAGACTGTTGCATTATGGGTTGTTTGTAGTCATAATGTTAATATATTAGTAACTTCCTCCAAGTCTGCTTATAGTGTGTCTGGTACTTAGTGGGCCCTGTAAGAGGATATAAAGCCCACTTTCACTTCAAGGAGTTTCTGAAGGCTTGTCTAGCATCTTTTGCTGTCAAGGAGGGGATCAATTCTTGACATGTGAAAACTTACTGCAGAAAAGGACCGGGAACTGAACCATGTATTGGACAGTCAAGAATTACCACAGAATATCGCAAGGAGCTCATCTCCACATCAACATGTCACCATTAGTTGGATATAGGGTTCAGCTGTTGTCTCAACAACACAGTGCTCATCATTGGTGAGCTCACTGTGACGCCAGAGAAGAGAAACATACAGTAAAGTGCATCATTCCATAAGACTGTGGGTTTACTCTGCTCGGTTTGTTTCTAAAATCCAGTGTTTCTAAAACACATGGCAGACCAGAGCTAAAATGTGACAATGTACAGTTACATGCATGTGTGTGCATGCTCACTGTTTGGCCCTGTCCTCACCTGGAAGTTTGAGCCACTTGGGTACCTTGCCTGGGTCTGATCTGGTAGGTTTCGCAGCCTGGGTGTGTGCAGACGGGTCTTCCTCGTCCTGTGTGGATCTGCTGGTGTCTGCTGTCATCAGTGGAGGAGGAAGTGGCTCCTCAATTCTCAGAGAGCTGGAGGAGGGTGTCGGGGACCTGATCATACAGCTGATGTAAGGAAAGCAAAAGGTCAAAATCTAAAACATATAATCACGAAAGATGTTTTGTAAGGGTGAAGGATGCCTTTTTGGTGTTGTTGAGGAAATCACGTCTACTTAAAGCAGTGCTGTTTGGCTGGCAGAGGATCTCTGCCAGACGTTAAATAACTGAGTGAGATACAGATCGAAAACAGAGGAGTAGTGATGGATGACCTTGTTAAAGAAGTAGAAAGACAACAGTTGGGGGTCACTTTTGGGAAACGGGCTCTATCTTTAGGAGGACTGGAAAATGGTTTCTGTGTATTGTGCATACGTGGAGGAAATGAGGGTGCATGGGGGCACCTGCTGTTTAGGCAGAACCTCAAAGGCATTCCAATGATGACAGCTTTGTGACAGGAAAATAGTCTGGTTGCCGCGGGATACAAATGCATATACACACCCAAATGCACACACAAGCAGGCACACTTTCAAACACACACACACACACACACACACACAGAGAGACATAAGCATACCTTGCAACAGACTCATTTGCTTGCAAGGCTGAGACAGAGGATTCAAGCAGTTCCCTCTTTATGTAAAAATCTGTGGACAAAACACACACACAACAATGCTAACTATTGTTTTGTTATATTACATTCCTCAGTAATCCACGAGTATCCCATTTAAACCAGCATATGAGATAAAAGAACAGGAAAGGGCAAAAACCTGTCTTGGTGTTGGAGCCGAAGTACAGCAGCGCGCCAGGAAACAGGTTGGCCTACAGACGGCGAGAAAGGAGGAGGAATGAACAGGAGCTTCTGAAAATGTTTCATACAAAACTTAAATTCTGAAAAACATAGACAAATCTGAACAAATCTCTCTCCTGCTACACCCAAACTAAGCACTGCTGCTACATCCAAACAAAAATCAAGTTTGTGGGGATGATTCATTGCCCAGGGATTAGATCCAGTAACTGTGGCTCTTTGAAGCAAACCACAAAATGAACACCACTCAAATGGTTAGTGAAAACACTTTCACCCCCACAGCACAACACTCCTCTCTGCTGATATTCTTAATGATTATAATGGACTAGTAGCAGGCAGATAAGTGTACAAGGCATGGCACATGTCTGTCAGAAAGGGGACAAACTAGTTCAAGAACACAACACTAGTGCACATTCTAATGCAAGTTGAGCTGTATTAAAAATACAGTATAACGGCTTATGATGATATGCATTATAACTAGGCCTACACAATGTAGTTGAGAACATTGTTCACCTTTTCCAACTCATCTTTCCCCATCAGTTAGTCAACCACACATTTTGTCCAAAGTAATACTTGTCCTCTGACTTTCCAGTAATTGCATCCTTTTTATCATCCTTTAAACTGATGCCAACCAAGTTTTCGTTCAGTTAAAAACACACCAACTGACAAACGATACCCTTGTGTGTAGAATATTTATCCTAACAGTAATCTCATCTAGTGGTACAATAATTTGTCAATTAACAGAAAATCTGTCAACTATTTGGTTAATTATTAACCATTTAAATTATTTAAACAGGTGAAAAACCAAAGATTTGCTTGTTCCAGCTTTTCAAATGTGGGAATTTCAGTTTTATATCAACATAAATTGAATGTATTTGGGTGTTAGGCTGTAGCTTCAACCAAACAAGGAGCCTGAAGACATCCACTTGTGAAATAATATTCCTTGGCCATTTCACACAGAATCATGTATGGACTCGTTAAGTATACATTTAAAATCTCTTTTACAAGATTCTTGTTTTAGAACAAGCTCATTTGACATTAAAAAGTCATTTTAAGTCTGTCTTTTCAACTAACTCATGTGGTGAATGTTAACTAACATTCCTGTAACATTTCAATAGTTGTCAGCTGGAAACAAGAAGCTGCTTTTGTCCGACTGTCTGAAATCAAGGACCAGCTTTTTAAAAATGACAGAGTTTGGAGAGGGCAAGCTGCTCCAGCTATCACTGTAAACTGCATCTGTGCCATGTGAGAATGGAAAGTCTAACAGGTGTAGCTGCACCAACTAAGGTGGGCATGGCTTAACAGTCAACTGACAGACTAATGGGTACTAACAATAATTGTTAGGTGTAGAGCTAGAGCCGTCAGCGGAACATTTTCCACGAAGCTCAGTTCTACACAGTTTCAAACCAGCAGTGTAAAACAAGGATTTGGCATGGCTGTCACTGGGATTAGGTGGGTCCACCCTCCACTACAACCCCGTAGTCCCCCCCCCCACTAGCTGGTTGCTAAAATGGAACATGCTGACCTAATTGCTATTATCACAACCCTGTGAGCTGAAAACAATGGCTACAGTGAAACTACAGCGATTCCAGCTATCCTGCTCCCTCTGGCAGCGGCCATGGGATTCAGGATAAAACAATGGAACAAGACCTGCGAGTATGTGTGAGTGTATGAGAAAGACAGAGAGGGAGAACAGAGAGGTAAAAACAGGGAGGAGACAGAAAGAAAAAGAGAGAGAAGGGATCCTGATGGAAGACAGAGGGATACGGATGAGGGAGGGGACGCCTGGTATCAAAGGGCTGCTGGGTTGGGAAACATTCCTTTCCTGACATGACACAAAGTGATTAAACTGTGCATCTGTGTATGTGTGTGTGTGTGTGTGAGAGAGAGAAAGAGCCAGAATACATATGCGTGTGCACTCATGTCTATGTGGCACAAAAAAAAGATTAAAGATTTCTTATCTATGTCTCAGAGACTGATGTATAGACAGTGAAACAGCCAGTGTGTGTGTCTGTGTGTGCATGTGAGACACGACACCAAGGGTATTAAAGATTTAGTTTTTTGTGTGCTTTAATGCTTTTAAGTCCCTAATGGGTAGAGACATGAGAGTGAGGGGAGGGGTGAGGGACAGGAAGGGGTCAGAGAGAGGGACAGTAGTGGTGGTTGGGGAAGAGAGAAAACTGCTGTTGGGGTACAGCAGAGGGGTGTGTAGTGGAAAGAAAACAAGCATGGAGAGTTTAAAAAGGGACATGGAGATGAAAAACAATGAGGGATGGGTGACTTACATCAGAACCTCTGATCTGATTTAGTGATATTGTGGCATCATCGGGATGACCCATCCCCCACCCCACAACACACACATTTCAAAGTGTGCTTCTGAGGATTGCTATCTTTTGTAGCAGTCCCTCTGAATCTTGTTCATCATCACAACACATCATCACTTCAAACAACTTTCCCTTCCTCCCCTTTCGTCTGCTTCAGGTTGAGTGTCAAGTGAGAATACAGAAACGCAGCACTGGTGATGAAAATGCTGGCAGTTATTCTAGAATAAAAGAACAAGGGGAGGCCCTGAAACATCTCCTTTGGTTTTCATTTGTATCACTTTGCTCTCAACTGTTTCACTATATGAAGAGGTCTGAACTCAAAGGCAACAAAGCATCAAGCCTGCCCACTGCTCTGTGCAAATATGTGTGTGTGTGTGTGTGTGTGTGTGTATCTGTCAAGATCAAAGCATGGCTTGTATTAACCCCATGTGCCAGTCTGGGAAAAATCAAGCCCAGCTGGGGTCAAGGACAGTGGAGAGAAAAGAAATGAGAGCGAGAGTGTGTAGGAGCGAGAGAACAGAGGGAGAATGTGGTGGGGCTTTGAAGAGGAAAGAGGAACCAGCCGATACATTTTACAGCCTCTGTGCATGTGATAGTCTCAAGGATGGGACGTCATTATTGTGCTTAGCTTCCTTCAAACTTAATTGAGAATGTGAGGAGTCTTACCTGGAAAAGTGTAGCTGAAGGATCGTCCAGGATGGTTTTTGGAGGGGTGACGACTGAAAGAAATGAATTAGATAATGTGGATAACCTTTTGGCTTGACTGCCATTAGGCTTTGTTACCTCCAGATCTTAACACCTCCAGTAAAGGATACTTAAAGAAATAATGGCCAAAGGCATAAACTCTATGCCTTCAGCTGCAATAAACTGGTCATTATCCCTTAATGATCCCTCAATTAAGCGTAAACAACCAGAAATATGGTTTCACATCATCGTCAGGGTGGATTTTGATGCTTGATGTTGTGATTAATTAGTGGGAAATGAAATGACACTTACACAAGTAGAAACTGAGCTGAGGATCCTCCAGGTGATTCCTCACAAAGTGCTTCACAGCATCAACTGGTTACAAAACACAAATGAGCATCAACATATGCATGAACAAGCTGATCTACGTGCACAACTATCAGCTCCAGTGTGGAGTTTTTCAGGTGGAATTTCCCTCCATTTTGTTGTTCTGCTGGTTGTTGTGTTGCTGTTGGGGTGGATCTAATCCCTGGAATAATAGACCTGTCTCATTCTTTCTGTCTCTGTCACTGCGGTGTGGCTACAGTCATAACTGTGGTGAGGGAGCCGTAAGCAGATGCAACATTGCAGCCATACCTGTGGCTAGCCATCTGAAATGTACACGTACACACACACACACACACACCTGTCTCCAGGGGCCTGAAGAAGCCCTGTAGAACATGTCGGTCTGGAAACTGGACCCTCAGGACCACCTGGAGAAACACAGTGGCAACTGGTTATTTAATACCACAAACAATAGGATTGTGATTATGTATGTGTCACTTGTGCTCACTTTGGGATATCTGTCCAGCTTCTCCTTCATCTGTGCTTCTCTTAGAGCTTTAGTCATCAGTGGCACCTCCTCCAAAAACTTCCTGAAGGAATGAAGGAAGAGATAAACAACTCTAATGAAATGAGCTATGAAATAGAAACTTTGGTACTGACAGTGGTAAAGATGAGCAGTAAAAAAAAGAGAAGATGTTTCTTCTTCTACCCTTACTCATGTGTGGCCATATATGCATGCGTGTGTCAGAGACAGAGATGAATTGCTGCGGTGGGTTTAATTCCACCCTTGGTAATTGCAGTCATTGACACAGTAGTAACATAGCCATGAGGCAGCCAGCTAAGTCAACATAGACAGAGATTAAAGGATGTTCACGGTGAGGTCACAACCTGCCGTTATTTGGTTGATGGCTGGAAGAAGAATGTCTGCACCAAACAGCCTTACTAATTGGCCCCTGTATGCCATATTTAGAAGCTTTTGTTGTGTGTGTGGCATCTTATAATAGAGAACAGTGTCTTAGCAGTTGTGGTCTGCTGTGTCCACATCCACAAAGTGTGGAGTAAGCTTGTCCGCATCTGTTTTGAACTAAAAAACAAAACAAAAACTTCAAACACAAAAAATAAAAACATCAAAATGCACACAGTGATGGCCGGCATCTCCCTGCCTATGGCCATTCTTCATTGCTATGGTATTCTGCAATTAAGGGTGTATTCATCAACAAAACACTGGAGGACCAGACACCGAGGTGACTAATTATCTGTTACAAACAGTGAGTGAACACATCTGATCCAGACACATTTCTGCAGAAACAAGGTATTAATTACAAAATATCACACACATTCCTCTGACCCAAAATCACTCAACCACCTTTATTCACTTCCTTCCCCTCACCTCTCGCTCTTCAGCTGGGCGAAGCGCTTCCGCACATCATCAACTGTCACTTCAAAGAACTGGTCGGGCAGATCCATGTGGTCCTCAGAGCGATGGGACATTGAGTCCAGGTGGTAGATGAGAGGCTCCCGTTCCACCGGCTGCAGGGAGGATAGAGACATACACAAATGGTCACAGTGATGTTTTCATATAAAGCACAGGTTTTGAAAATGTGAGAATGGAGGAAAAATATCAACACAGTCAAGCTGGAGCTGCAGTAGCTACAAAGACAGGAGCTAAAGTCTAGGTAGTGTGGAAATAAATATGTGTTCTGAGTTTGTCACACCACAGGAAGATGTTATTAACCACCCAGACAAAATTGAAGGACTAAAAAGATTGTCAAGTATGTAAAATCAAAATCTGGAAACAATGAGTATTCTCTGCACTGAATCCCTGGGGGCGTATCGGGTGAAGATACTGAAAGGTGCCCAATCGCTGAAATGTGCCGCCTATTCTTGTGGCCATTCCATATTTAAGCAGAAGTGTCACAGTAGTAGTGAAATCTGAACACAAGTAGTCAGCTGGACACCTTGAAGAGGCATATATAGTGACAGGTGTAAACGGTGATGTGTCTTGGCTGCACACTTGCAATCCAATTGTCCAAGACGCATTTTAAAACATTTTATGAGAACTGCAGTTCCAAAACCTAGAATGAGGTTGGGGTGAAATCACAATTGTCTTCATTTTGTCAAAAGGAGGCACAATGTGTGACTATGAAAATTCCTGATATAAAGAACCCTGAAACATAATGAAAACACTTGTATTTAAGATTAGACCAAGAGAAAATCAAACCCTTAATTGGTAAGTTACAGAGTCATGTTGTGTCCAAGAATGATTCAAGGCACAGATCCACAACATGGAGATTATAGGGCAGAAACCTCTGACCTGAAACAAGAGGATTTACCTCCAAGAACTCCTCCCCATGATCCATGTCCTCTTCTGGAAGGTTGGCTGAAGCTTGATGCTGTAAAAGGAACAGAAAAGGCCACAAGTTAGAGAGAGATGGTTCTGTCAACTGCTACTTTCAAGGTCAAGAATTAACTTTCAATTATCTAGAAATCTGCAAATAGGGGGGAAAAAGATATCAAATTGGTCTTGGCAACATGAATTATCAACAACAAGAAAAAAAATGAATCATCCAAAAATAAAATATTAGGACTTTCTCCATGCAGTGATATGGCTCACCGTGGTGCTAGAACCATCGCTAGATTTGGCTTTCTTGGCTTTGGGTGATTCGCCTGCAGCAGTCAGAGGTGACAGAGATGAGGATGACAAGGGTAAAGATAGTGAGCATCCAACTGCTCCTCCCCCTCCCCCCAGACCTCCGAGACGCTGACCACCCCCAGAGAAGGGAACAAATGGAGCTGAGGAGGTGGAGCAGGAAGATGTTGCATGAGAGCTCAGCCCTGATGGCCCTGCTTCCTCGCCATCTTCCTCTGATGTTTCTCTATGGGCAGGAGGGGCTTCAGGCCAAACTGCATCCTGGGGGTTCAAAATGGCTTCCGGTTGAACAGGAAGTGTGCTTGTGGCAGAGACAGGAGTAGGTGCAGACAGGGATTCCATTGGACTGTCGGAGTCTGAATTTTTAATTGGCACGTCTGTTGTTGTGTCTGGATGTGACAAAGCAGAGTCGGGCTGAGCTGACAGGCTAGGTGTTGTTTCCTTGGCAACAGGCGTGGCTGGCACAGCAACTGTTTCAGTGGCTCCTCCACTGTCCCCCTCTACTGGAGTTTTGTTCTTTTTGAGTAAAAACCTTAAAGAGAAATTGGAAAAACTGCTTTACCATGAGCTTAAACTGCAGCACTGTGCATAAAGCGACTCAGGCCCCTGTCTTCCACCCAGGGGGTACAGTCCTGTATCAAACTGTAGTTTCCATTTAGACAGGGCTTTGCAGCAGTGCACCAAAATGCTACAGATTAAAATTGGAATGTTTTCAGAATTAAAATGAATACCCTGTGCACCAAGTTATTTTAAAACATGTAAAGGGTTGATTTTTGATCACAATAATGGTCAGTGTAAATGGCAAATTGTTTGAGCAATCGTGGCTCTACACAGTTACTTAAATTCCTCCTGTCTCCCTCCAGATCAATTCGCCACCATATTAGCTATCGGCCGTGGTACCAGTGCGACTGCCTTTTAAAGGGAATGGGAGAAGGCATTTTGATTGGTTTACTGCATTTTATGCCCAAAATACACCCATCGTTTTATTAAGAGTGCAACTCCAAACCTTTTGAAATAATTGCCTGTCATAGAAATACTTTTTGCGCCGTCAAAATAGCAAAATTGGTCTGGACATGGCCTGTATGTACCTTGATTGTTGCAGCTGGAAACGTGTGCTCTAGATTGCCAAAACAGGACCCTAAGTGTTAACTGTTCTTCACATTGGCTGTTATTGGAACTGTCAATAAAATCACACACACAAAAAAAACACAAGTCTGAAAACAAATACTGTACCTGACAATGGCACTTCCTCCTGTGAGACCCAGAGACTTCAGAGTGGCCTTCCTTAGTGATTCTTCCCCACTCACCTACACACACACACACACACACACACACACACGGAAAAACAGCTGCGTTACTATAAAACTCAGTTTCGTCTCTTAAGAAAGGGAGAGTTAAAGCAACACTGCATACCTCATCTCTCATGTAAACACACATGGGAGTGGATCCTGACTCCGCCAGCTCTGACACACTGGGGAAAGGTGGTGACAGTAAGAAAAATCAAAGATTAAAATTACAAGTGAAAGATTTTTATTTGCTTTAGGTGTGACAAAACAAAACATAGAAGTGACTTTCTCTTGCTGAGGGAAATCAGCTCTGGGACTTTACAATAAATTTTCAAGCAATGCAGAGGCATGTTGTCTGCATGTGTAAACCATGTGTGCACAATCCCATGTAGAAAAATAAGTGAACCATAAATGTTTTACTATTGAACAGTTCTGAAAATCAATGTTTTCCCCTCTGCCTCCGAACATTCACAGAGAATTTTAAGCTAATGTGGAGCTAATATAAATTTCATGGACGCATAACCTTCTTAGAAAAGGATCAGGATATAGAGCGACGTCATTTAACAGAGATGAGATGAGGGCTGGACGGATGCACTGGCACCTGGGATGGCACAGCTGGAACTACTGAGTAACAGCTATATGTGTGTGTTTGAGTGAGAAGTGGCAACATGTGGGAAAGCACAAACTTGGGCAGAGGAGTGGTGAGAAGAAGGGACACTATCTTAACACTGTGCTGGCCTGTGTTCATTCCTGCACAACCACAGCTATATATAAACTGATCAGCCATAACATTATGACCACCTGCCTAATACTGTTTACCTAGGAGTCAATGTGGCAGTTGGTCGGCACTCGTGTCACTCTGCAGCTCACTGTGCATCTTCTGTGAATCCATTTGCTTCCACAGTTCTACTGTCAGGAAGAGCACAGATGTGTCTACAATTCAGTGAAAAACGTATGTAAAAGGAGTGAAAACTGTGGTCATGAGGACGTTAGAGAGAATTGTTGAGACAAATTCAACAGCCTCACCGCTCTAGGTGTGATATCACTACTACAGCCCCTGACACTTTCTCTTCATAAAGACCAATGTACAGTAGTTCTCATTTTCAACCATTTTAACAAAGATCAGTGAGCTGTGGGCGTCCATGACCCTGTCTCCAGTTCACCATCTGTCCTTCCTTAGACACTGTTGGTAGGTACTAACCACTGCAGACCAAGAACACCCACCAAGACCTGCAGTGTGGGAGATGCTCTGACCCAGTCATCTCACCATCACAGTTTGGTCCTTGGCAAAGTCACTCAGATCCTTACGCTGCCCATTTTTCCTGCTTCCAACACATCAACTTCAAGGACCGAATGTTCACTTGCTGCGTAATACACCCCACACAGTGACAGGTGCCACTGTAACAAGATCATCAGTGTTCACCTGCCAGTGGTCATAATGTTATGGCTGATCAATATATACTGTATATGCACATACATACATGCAAATATATAAAACACACCTGAAATAATTAAAGCAATGATCTGTGAATTGTGGTTATGCATTACATGAAACACTGTGTAAACAAAAAGTTCAACTTTGAATGAAATTGAAAACTACCACAGCTTTTGCTAAAACAGTGATGGCTGGGACCAAGCCTCATGAGTACAGTAGTATTAAGACCAGTACACCGTGCCAAAATTACAAAAAAATTAACAGCACCATAATGCAAAGCAACAGGACCGATGCATTAGCGTCCCATGTTTTTCTGTTTGACAGTGTACAAAGAAGGATCTGAAGGGGAATTCAGAAGGTTCCAATCCCAAAAACAGGCCCACTTGACATGTTCTGGATGGCAAGTGAGGATATCAGGCTTGGATACAACCCAAAGACAGTGGTGTTTACAGCATAAAAGGTTTATTCATAATGAAAGTGAGCTCTTTGGTCAGTGTGAGCATTAGTAAGACAGATTCAGGTTTTAAATAGACTATATGCTGTACTGCCTGAGAACAAGTGTGCATTATCTGTACACAGTAACTCTATGACCTTAACATTAGCTTACTTGTGTATTTTCCTTTGCTGATCCAGTTTTATCGTATGAATAATAACTTTAACATTAGTGGTTAAAGACATTTAAGACTGAACTCCAAGGACACCTGGCATAGATTGAGTCAAATCAAATTGAGTTTCCCCTAACCAGAACCCTATCCTTATTCTAATCATAAATACAGAGGGGGGCACTACTAGAAACCCAGTTTTAACAGGAGGAAACACATCCTAATGGGGAAACAAATTTTGACACAAGATCGGCGCTGCTCTACAAGGAACTGTAATAATATTAGTTTGCAGAACAGCCAAGATGGTCTAAGTTTGTTTTCTATGTTTTCTATTAAAATAGTGGGATTGCAATACAAAAAAGGTATCATTCTATTATTTTGATCTCAATTAAACTTGACTACAGCATGACGTAGTGTATAAAACACGGAGTCTCAATTTTCGTGTTGTACACTCAGATAATTTGTATATATTTCACTCATCATAATTCATCTCAACACTTAAAATGTAGCATTATTTCTCTACATTTTCATTATTATCAGAAAAATACTTTATTTCCTTTAAAATGGTTAGAACAAATTCTGCTAGATTACTTGGGAGATGCCAGGATGCTTGGGGAATTGCCTTCATCCAAGGTTTGGTCATTTCATAGGAAAGTGTAATATGACCTTTTAATATTCTGAGCCTTATCCTTCCCAGCTTCATTTGTACAGCCTGGAACAGTCCCCTGTATTTAATTTTATGCCCGACAAGATATGGCGTTGCTATTTTATCATTGATGTCTGCGATACTCTATAGATTGGAACCTGTCTGGGTGTGAGGTATTATGGGATATCAGAAAGGGTGAATACAGAACAGGGAGAGTACTGCTCCTCCCACCCTATCACTCCAACACTTATCCTAATTTAATTCTAACCTAAATCCGGAAACCAAGTCTTAACCCTCAAAGAACCATATGAAGAAGAGAGAACACAAAAAAAATGTCTTTCCTAAAATGTCCTCAAATTACAACGGCAACACATTTACAAACTTTGCATGTGTGTGCAAGCACATATACTATATACACACCGGATCTGGGGGAAATGTGTGAGCACTTCCCACAGACTCTGTGCAGAAGAGAATGAACCTTGGAGCCGAGTGCCGTCCTCCATCTGTAGTGCGACTCGCACCTGAGGGAAACCAAATCACAGGAACACACATACACATGCTGTTTAGATGTACTACAAAAAACATAACACATTAACCTGCAAAACATGATCCGTGAATAAAAAGCAGGCAGAAAAGATCACCATCAGTCCTTCCACCCCTGTAAAGGTGAGTGTCTAACCTCCTAGTACATACAGTATGCATATACCACAAATGGATGTGAAGTGGGTTTAATACTGTGCTAAGTGTTTTTTTGTAGCAGTTGCTGCATTTATTGCGATAAGAGCTAATGACAAAGGACCCCTACTGAATTTGATCCAGAATTATATATTTTACAACTTAGATGAGCAGGACAAAAACTGTGTTCATTTTTCAGACTTTTTCATTTTTGCTGTTTTCTTATGAAATGCTGCATAACCTGTAAAAATAATAATAATAATAAAAAACCACAAGCAAAACCACTGCACTAAACAAGTACAATAATTTTACTTCCCTTTAAAAACAATAAAAGTACAGAAATTAATAATATTTGGATGCAAAACATATTTTTATCTCTATACTGTTCACATTGTAGGACAAAAGGTTACTTTAAGTGCAGAATGGAAACTCACTATATTAAGGATCAAAACCTTCCTAGGTGGCCTTTAGTAAGTTCTTGGCTCTACAGTCTGAGGAAGAAAATTCTTTGATAATTGACCTTGATTAAGCTGCACATGTGGGCCCACCTCAGTTTGAAAATGAGTAACACCAGGCATCAGTGCATGTTGTTCTTTCACTCTCTGAGTCATTCTACGAGTTGTTTATGTTTATTCAACAACCATGTTATCCAACACAGAAAACATGCAGCACGTCAGCACACCGGGAGAGATGAAAAGAGCACCTTGGCTGTCAACGCCCAACATGGAATGCTCTCACACACCAGTCTGGCTGATGTGAATGTGGAGAGTAGACCGTGTGTGCGCATGTGTGTGTGTGGCACAAGTGTGTGTATATAAAACCTGTGAGGTATCAACAGTCAACCATGCATCAAATGAACAAGAACAACAGATCAAACCCAGACGTGATTTTACTGCTTAGATTATGATGCCATGATGTCATAGGAAACTACAGTTCACCTACAACAAAGTGTTTTTTGTTTAGTTTTTGATTTTGTTTTTTCATATACAAATCAGAGATTGAGCACAGATGGAGAATTTCTGGATTTATAATTTCCTGATAAAAAATACACATATACAATAATATTGATGTTTACAGATTGCCTGGGATTGTTTTTTCTGACCTAATCAAAGGTAGGACACATAACCAATATCTCAGTATCATTTCATGTGATACAATACTGATACTCAGTCACCAGTATCACTGTACTGTAATGTTGTGTTACTGAGAAGCACAGGCATTTCTTTTCTTTTATGTATTCATTCCATCTTTGGACTGTTTTTCCTTTCACCAGTTCATGGTTGTCTGACACTGTTGATGTTGATGTGTGACTCAGATTCCTAAATTATTTTCAGAGATTTGGAGATGATGGGGCAACTCCTTACTAACCATTTTCTTGATTTCCTGGTCCATGATTCACCGGTTGTACTGTTCTACTTGAGTGAAAGTAATAATTAATGCCTTCCCCTATTTGGCCACATTATCCATATTGTTATTGCTGCCAAAAGTGCACATCAGTCACCAATCAAAACAGCAAACCAAAAAATTCACAAACAACTGGCTGAGTCTAAAATGCTATGCCTACACACAGAGATATCAAATTACTGTGGAAATTTAACTAATGCACTGACTATGCCTTCTCTGCCAATAACTGCATTTTCTTAATTATCAAAGCACAAGAAACAAATGTGTTCATTGTGTTTGATGTGCAGAATATCACCACATTCTATATTCACATAATAAACTTAGATTTTACCGTTTCACTAAGCCTCACCTGGGAATCAGGCTACTATGTCTATGCTACCAGCGACAATGACTTGCAGACAATAAGCATACACACTCTTACACGCTGTACTTCACACATGCACTGACTTATTCACTGCATGTGCCTTTATAGCATGGTCATCCACCAAACTTTAACACTGCTATCTCACTCATCTCAAACACAAACACACTTATATACACTTTATTTTAATCCACCAATAATATCAACGTGTACAGGACTCAAATTTCAACAGAGGCAACACATCTATGGTAACACTTCATAGATAAAGGAAACAGTGTCTGCATCACACAGCCATGTTTCCAGTTACCACAGAAATGGAACTGAAGTTCACCAGCTGTTTTCTTTTTTCAAGCCTGAAGATAGCAGCTCGCTTACAGTCAACTTGTGAACACACACACACAAACACGCACACACACACGTACTCGCACATCAGTTAGACTAACCTGGCTGTCAGCTACAGCCTGTTTTCTTGTACTTGTCACCATTTCCAGTTTAGCATTGTTGGGCAGGTTGGCAAACCTCCATGGCAACGTAAGGTCAACAAGAGTCCTCTGAAACCTGTCAAACATGATGATAGAGGAGAGATGAGAGAGAATGATGGGACATTCACACCCTCCTACATATACATCAAAAATAAAAAACACCATCAATTTGACTAAATATCTCTCAGCTGCTGAGTTCTCCTGCTGATTAAGAAAACAAAAACAAAAAGAAAATGATAGTACATAATGCTGGCGAGTAAATCAGCCAAGTGCATTTAACTGTCAGTGATTTTTCTCTTGTTCAGCTGATGTAAAATGTATTAATTATATCTTGGGATTCATTTCACCTATTCAAGTTAAATATATTATGGCAGTTTTCTATTTCATTATATGTTGGTAATCTGTAGTTGTTCAAATATTCTTTCACGTATAGAACAAAAATGACATTTATTTTCAGGCCTATAAGTGAAGTTCCACAGCTCAGTTCACCTAAATCACCCGTCTAAGCTGAAACAGACCCCTGCTGCTCACAATAACAATTTATCTAACAATTGTAACGTCAGCAGTCATGTCAATTCACACATTATTGTCCACTATTGTTAACTTTAAGAGACTCTACTTCTCACAAACAACATACTATGCCAGATTCAGTACATATATATATAATTTATTTGTATATCCTGGTGTGTTTAGACATACTCTAGGATAACGTTAAGGGCTTCAGCTGCAGGCCAGCAACTACAACCTAGTTAACATTTTGGCAGCACTATGAGAGCTACTTTAGCCAACTGACTCACTTCAATCCATGGTCGTCGGGGTTAAATCCGTGTTTTTTGCAGACATCCTCCAGAACCTGCAAACGACAGATGTATCCAAAATATCACTCCTAAGTTCATGCCACAGTTATCAAGATAATATGAATATGAAAACAGACACTGATCTGTCACTGGCTAACTACCGTTAGCAAAAAAGCTAGCTCAGAGAAAAATAGTTTGCGCTCGGGTAGAAACAAGAACAAAATTAAACGAACTTTCCATGACAAACAACATGGAACGTGTTCTTAAAACACAAGTTACCTGTAATAACACCGTGTTTAGAGACACTTGGACCGTTTGTCTCCTCCCATTTGGAGTGAGAACGGTTACAGCTGTACCACTGGCTGCCATTGCACTTCGTGACGTCACCGTGTTTAATTGAATAAACTTTATTGAAGCTCTACCAGCAGACAGAAACCGATAAATCGCTTCAGTTCACACAGCACTGAAAGCTATAAAGCTCAGCAGCAGAGCGTATCTCCGCGTTTCGTTTTGTGTCTGAATCAATGTCACAGTTATTCAGAATACTCTACAGACTTCACTGTGTTTTTTCGCTGTCCCTATGAAAATGAACATATTCCATAATAGACAACAGTATATTTGGAATAATTAATAAATATGTTACATAATCTTGATGCGTATTTCAAAATAATTTCTTGTACTAATGTAGTTCTTAATCGATTACAAACTCAAATACAAATGATTGGCAAATTAAAGGTAAAACTTGAAAAATTAATGGGGAAACATGATGTGACTCTTAAGTGTAGTCCAGGTGTACTGTAGGAAACTGCTGTTTTCACAAAGGATGCTTTGACATGTTGCAGTGCAAGAAGCAAAAGAAGTAAATAATAAATTTAAAGATGCATGTATGTGAGTTCTAGTGCTCTATTTGTATGAATGCTAGCTTACTGTCAGGCTTACTGGGAGACTTAAATGGAACTTAACCATTGGTAATAACCCCTGTATTTTGTCTACTGCTGTAACAAGTCACAATGTTTTCTGGTCAAATGTGTTTTTACATCTGATTTCATTCTGAAAATATTTATTTGAGTCTGAAATTAAAAAACAAAGGGTTCCATGTAATCTTGCTTACGTGCCACTATTACATGTCACTAACTCTGTGTCTCCTCTCTCCATAGTGTGTCCTCTCTCTCTCCCTGTTGCAGGTATCCCTGCAACTTGAGCTTGTTGCAGCAAAAATCAGACTGGATAAATGCTGGAATCAGATTGGACAGACAAAATAGCATGTGGTGCCAACAGATGGAGAGGTGTGAGGCCAGAGCTTCAGAGGGCATACAAGTGACCACTAGAGTCAGAGTCCACCCCAGAGAGGGAGAGGTGAATACAGTTCTCAGTTCTGAGGGGAAATTGCCACCGTCTGAATAAATAAACAAACAATCTGTTTCCTTCCTCACTCAGCAGGATAGAAAGTTCAAAACTCTGCCTGAATGGAGCACAAGCACATGAAAGTGTCTGTGCTGGACGTTTGTCAGGTTTTACACAACATTTGCACAAAAATAATAATAATAATAACAAAATCAAGGCAGGAAAACACAATTTCTGGCATTATGTTGCTGAATGTCAGCAACATAGATTTAAATTGAATACTAGATGTGGCTAAGAGCCACAGACAACACTAAGCTCGGGACAAGTTCATGAACCTTCATGTGTAAAATCTATGGAATGCCCACTAACCCTACAGGAAGAGCAACAGCTGCCTGGTGTCATATGTGGACCTCGTAAAGATGATGTTACACACAGGCTCTTGCTCACATCAACAATGACGATGTTGAAGCAGTGAGAACTGATGGCCAACAGAACTCCATTCTTTTTGAAGTGAAAGCTCCTTGTGTTCCCAGAAAACCACAGAGCTAGAGAAGCAGCAGTTTTAATGAGCTACTCTGGACCTGTGATGACCTCAAACACAAGAGAAAAAGTATGAGGGACCAACATGACCAGAGGCTGTGAGGAAACTGAAAAGCAGTATGGGCCAGTAAAGTACAGTTGTGAAGGCCAAAGAATCTTCTGTCACTTAAAGGCAGACACAGAAGGGAAATGGTCTTGATCATGCTGCAGACAAGAAGGCGGCTTGGCTTACAACAGTTATAAGTTTAACGTTATAGGATCTGATCTGATCTGATCCTGAGGTATTGGTAAATAATTATCACGAGAAGTAACGTCCTACAGCTCACAACTCAAAGGGGCTGAAAATGGCTATAGCTGACATATGTCATTCAAATATGTGACACAGTGACCTTTATTTGGCTTCAGTATAATGGTATTTATTTGGGGGAAATGCATGTACATGTAACAAGTGATGCCGAGAGACAAAAAGATCTGTATGCTGCATGTTTACTCACACCACAGTCCTGCTTTAAAGCCTTCCTTTTTGCCTCTACAGGTTACCTAAGTACTCCAGAAGGGACGTATCTATATAAGATGATCTCCACCAGCCACAAAAACAAAATGCGGGGTCCCTTTTCGAGCACATTCACAGCTGTGTATGACTGGATATGTGTTTCTGTTGTACCCTAGCGCACGATGTGACCCTCAGCTGATTTCCCTCACACATCATATTCAATCAAAGACACTTCAAAGCAAGTGGTCATATGATGGCACACCATAAAAGGGACCGAGTGTATGAGTGAGCTGGCTGAAGGGGCGTGCCAGGCATACGCGCGCTCTTAGTGTGAGACCGACGCCCCGCGAGGAGCATCAGCCAACGATAATAACGATTGGCCCGCGGGAGTGAGAAGCACGGACCAGCTAGGGGGAGGAGGGCGGCGACCTCAAATAAAATCCCCTATTCGTTTGCAGCTCATGAAGAGCTGAACCACCAGCAAACAGGTCGGCTACAACCATGAAAATGGAATGAGCGACAGGGTTTTACGCGCGTAATGACGCGTTAACTGGATGAACTGCAGACGAGTTCAGGACGGAACTTCAGTGAGAATTCCACCTGCATTTAGAGTGAATTTTGAGTCCACCACTCAAGGCACCATGGAGAACTTTTACCTGTGTTCATTCATCACACTTTGCGCGAGCCATCGTCTCCAAGTAGTCTCCGTGCGTGCTCACAGAACACTTCACGTCTCTGTCGACTCCTAGGATGTGCAATCAAGAAATGCAGAGTGGTGGGGTGGTGAGACGCTCGACGAATCTGTCCGTGGTACGCTCCTGCATGCTGCTGCTCTTCATCCACATGAGCGCACCGGTGGAGGCGAGAAGAGTGCGCGGCGGTCGGGCGCAAAGTCGACGGATGCAGCAGCAACAGCAGGCTCCGGCGTACAGTGAACAGGTGGAAGGAGCAGAGAGCTTTCCGTTAGACTTTACAGCCGTGGAGAGCAACATGGACAACTTCATGGTGCAGATAAAGAACTTAGCGCAGTCACTGTACCCGTGTTCTGCGCAGAAGCTGGACCAAGACATGAAGTTGAACTTTTTAAACAATGTATCTGTGACGTGCAATGACGGGTCTCCTGCTGGGTAAGTGAGTGGGCTACATTGGTTCTTTCCAGTTTGTCAATAACCCAAAACGTCACTTAAAGGGTCCCTAATTAATTTGTATGTGCAAAGCCAAGAAAACGCAGACCCTCAGTTGCGCTCTGCCTCACCCAACATGAAGTCTGTGTTACTGATGGCTCAGATCACTGCCCTTCATTCCCGTTGCGCCGGATGTGACCAAAATGGATCAAAGAATCAGAGAGAGCGCAGTGCGCGATGCCCCTAAGCGTTATATGTGCTAGATCATGCGTCTTCCCCATGAGGAAAACGCAGAGATTACTTTATTTAAGTACCTACGATGTTGGGTCTATTTGCAATAGAAAGCAACACCGATAAAGGAAGGCTACATACAGTGATAGTTTTTGCCACAACAGGTGTCTGTTTGTGTGGCCACTAAGGCAAACCTATGTCAGTGTAGACTCACAAGCACATGAACAAATCAGGCTGATTTGTGCCTGGATCATTATTTGTAGATAGTCATTCTCAAATGTTACTGTACATAGACCAGTTTTATCATTGGCTGAAGATCACACTGACTGACATTCTTCAGTCACTGTCTTCTTTGTGCACCAGTCTCTCTGCAAGATTCCAGTTTTGTTCAATTTTTGGAAAAAACCCTTCACTTCAGGAGTCCTGCTGTGCATCTGGACTACTCAGCATCAGTCTGCAGCAGCGAGCTGTAGGCTGAGGTGCATTACTTTCTTTAACTGTGAGTGAAACTGAGTGGAAATGACACAATTTGTTGCATCTACGTGGAAAAACCTCAGCACTTTGATTTTATTGAGTCGAAGGATTACAAGTACATGAATACTGTCTTATTCTTCACGATTATTACGTGAGACAGGAATAAAAGGCTGCAACCTCAAGTTTTCAGGGCAGGTTTGCAGTGTTAGCACACTGCATTGAGATAAATCTGGATAAGCTAATCATTTTTAATGATAATGCCTCTTAGAAAAGTAAAATATTATCAGTATGTTAATATCAAGTCAATCTTTTTAGTTACATTTTACACAATATGTAAAATATCAGGAACAGGCCTGACTGTGTAAATAAGAGGGAGGTTTCCATATGCCACCAAGCTGTCAAGCCTCTGTGAGTGCGTGTGAGACCATGTGTGGTGCCAACAGCATGATGAGTTTCCTCTACTCATGATTTCTTAAATAACTGCTTAGAGCTGTAAAAGCTAACAGGCTCCTGCAGCGATGTCATCAGAGCCTAATATTTTATGTCAGGCTCAAAGGTAGCATCCCTACTGTGGGGCTTGTGTTGTGTGTGTTTGCATCTGTATGTGCATGACACACACAAACACACTGATTTGTATTCTCGTGCAGTTACTACATCAAGGAGTCCAAAGGCAGCAAAAGGTGGCTGCTGTTCCTAGAAGGTGAGTCAGAACCTTTGAAACAAACCAGATGTAGAGCTCTGTACAGTGAAACACCTCACTATGTCCCCTGCTGACAAGCTTGTGTATGTGTGTGTTTGTGTTCAGGTGGATGGTACTGTTTCAACAGGCAGACCTGTGACAGCAGGTATGGGGCAATGAGGAGACTGATGAGCTCCACCAAGTGGCCACAAACCCGAACAGGTAACACATCATGCCCTACACTGTGTCTCATGCACAAACATAGATATGCTTGAAAGTGTTAAAACAGTTTGTGCAGTTTTTGCAGAGCCTCTACACAGCCCCACTGAGCTTTTGCTTTTTGCTTTCCTCTGAAGGAAAAAAACTTCCTCTGAATGAATGAGATTCAAAGAGCTGTTTGTGTTTCCTCTTTAGCTGAGTTTGCTTTAATCTTTAAAGCCAAACTCTTAGGTTCCTTCCCTACTGTCATCAGGGAAACCCTTGTTTGTTTATGACTCCCTCTCTCCACTGCCCTCTCTGTGTATACTGTACATTGGTGGTCGGCACAACGGCCGCAGAGCTCTTCAATGCCTGCATGTAATTGCTGACCAAAGCAGGGAAAGTTAATGACTTATATACCACTGGGGAAACACACTCCTTACGGTAAATACACACCTCAGCATACATCAGAACACACAGCTGCACATCAAGGTTTGTGAATTTTAACAGGGTGCCTCAAGTATTTAACCTCTCTCATCTTTAGTGAGAATATTTGTCCACTAAGTGTCAACAAACTCCTTGTTTCACCTGTGTTTCACTCTCCTCTTTCCACAGGAACAGGAATTCTGTCTCCACAGCCAGAGGAAAACCCTCACTGGTGGAACGCCAACATGGTGTAAGAACCCGAGTTGGTCTTTTTAGATTGTTATTAAAACACGTTTTCTGCTTTGCCTGTGCTTTGTCTCATTTCCCTTGCTCTTACTCACCTTTATGTGTGCACACACCTTAGAAGGCTGCATCTTAGAAAAATGAATCCCAAGAATCAGATTTATTGAATAAAAACCTATAATTAAGTGTATATTATTTTTCAGAGGTGAAAGTAAATTTTTACTTCAATGTACTTTGGGAGATTTTATACTTGCACTCGTCTACACGTCAGACAGAAAATATTACAATCTTTACATTTTCCAATTTACATTGCACTTAGCATGTGCAACATAAGGGCAGCTTTATAAATATGCCACACTGGTAAGCAGTTTAAACTACAGAGGATAAGGAGCGATGTCAAACTCTGTAATATCTATACCATCTGTAACAACCTATATTAAATATATCTTACAAGGTAATGCATCAATAATTTAAAGTAATCTGTATCAAGAAGGACTCCAACTTTTCATGTATTTCCATTTTAGTATTACTACTGTTTCAATTAAAGATATAATGAGTACTTTTACCACAACTGCTGTTTTTAATGTTTTGCTTTTTACCATTCTTTTATGTAATCATAAGCTACGTAACCACTCTGTTTTGTTCTAGCAGCTACTTGTCATTGTTCAACAACGAAAACACACTCACTAACATCCTGCAACAGCTTTCTATCTTGAGAGCATACACTTGTACTAACTGTCTGTGTTCAGTCTACTGTCGCACAGCCAGGATGGCTTTTATTCATACAGCTTAACCATCTACATCAGCAGTCAAATAAAAGCTGCTCTGATATGAAGTTTGATTCCAGATTGTCAGTGTTGCATTCTCTTTGCTGTAGGTTCATCCCATACTGCTCCAGTGATGTGTGGAGTGGAGCCACCCCAAAGACAAATCCCAGTAAGGCACAACAAATAAAATGACCCACTCTGTGAGCTTGTAGAAAGACTGATCAATGTTGGTGATTTTTAAAGGCAGGATCATTTAATAATAATTCAATGGGTTTGCTGTTAGGCCTTAAAACCCATAACAGCCTTATTCTTTTAACTATACCATTTAAATTAATATAGCCCTAAAATAAGAATGTTAAGTGGTTCTGTGTTAATGAATGAGCGTCATTTGTGTTCTCAGGTGACTATGCATTCATGGGCTCTCTGATCATCAAGGAAGTGGTGAACGAGCTGCTGACAAAAGGTCTGGGCAACGCCAGGGTTGTTCTTCTTGCAGGAAGCAGGTCAGTTAATTAATATACTGTATAAACAAATGTGTACTGTACCAGATATAATTGTATGGTTGTAACCTCTGATCCCACTCTTCCTGTCACCAGTGCGGGTGGTACAGGCGTCCTTCTGAATGTGGACCACGTTGCCGAGCAGCTGGAGTCGCAGGGACACATGGGGGTGCAGGTCAGAGGCCTGGCTGACTCCGGATGGTTCCTGGACAACAAACAATACAAATTTACCGACTGCTTGGATACCATAAGCTGCGCCCCCACTGAGGCCATAAAGAGAGGCATCAGGTAAGACAAGGACAGATGGCCTGATTGATGGAGCGGTGAAGGGGTTAGGAAGAAGCTCCATAAGCAGTACAGATATGGTAAAGTGATGATGCTTTGCTGGTGAGCAGGTATTGGGGCGGACTGGTGCCAGCAAGCTGCAGACAGGCGCATGTCGGAGAGGAGTGGAACTGTTTCTTTGGATATAAAGTCTACCCCACTTTAAAGAGTGCGTACCAAGAGCTTCTCCATTACTCCGACACAGACAGTTAAGACAGAGGCGGGTGTGTCATTTATATTCTGACCTGTGGGACATTCCCTCTCCTGTCCAGGCCCGGTGTTTGTGGTGCAGTGGCTGTTCGATGAGGCCCAGCTGACGGTCGACAACGTCCACCTGACAGGACAGCCCATCCACGAGGGCCAGTGGAGGTACATACAGAACCTGGGCCAGGAGCTGAGGAGCACACTCCGTGATGTCCCGTAAGACTGACAATCACACATGTAAAAGATAAAAATTAAAAAATTAATTTTAAAAATTAAAAATGACTGTTGTGTTGACTGCTTGATTCTACGTTTTGAATGGCAGGGCGATGTTTGCTCCGGCCTGTCTGTCTCACGAGCTCATTACCAGAACGTGAGTAAATAAACCTTTTTAAACCATAAAACCTGAATGAGTGACCAGTAGTAGAAGAAGTACTCAGGGAGTTGACTTAAGTAAAAGTAGAAAACAAAAGATCCGGCAACACTTGCAGTGTTTGGAGCAACTTTATAAGTAGGAAGTTCAAAATACAATATTAGCCTCTCAAATGTAATGAAGTTAAGGTATGAAGTAGCAGAAAATGAAAATACTCAAGTGCAGATACCTCAAAGTTGTACTTAAGTACAGTACTTCAGTAAATATATTTAGGTGTTGTAAAATGTGCTATTTATACATATATATGTATATATGGGTATTTGCATATATGTTGCATAAACAACATAAAATAGCAGTAGAAGTATTGAAGACTTGCTTGAGATCCTTTAAGTTTTTTTTGGGGGGGGGTGCATTTTGATACCTTTGTCTCAGACAGTAGAGAGATAACAGGAACATAGTGTAAGAGGAGTGTTTACTATCATTTAGAAGTGAAATGACATTTGCCCAAAGGGGCTTTACAGTTTGTACAGCAACACCCACTGTCCTTAGCCCCTCAAACTGAACTGGATAAGGAAAGCCCGGTACAAAGCATAGGGCTAAATCTTGTGACAGTATATAGGTCACCCAAACAAACCTAAAATGTGGTAGGTTTTACTTTTTAATCCCCAAGACTGTGCTCATAATATTACATAGTAATAAAATATATGATTATTATAACATTTTGAGGAGGACAGATGCAGTTGTCTTCTGTTTATTCCGTGTTCTTTGATGCCCACCTTTGACCCTCCCTGTCCCTGCAGCTCCTGGATGGACATTCAGGTGAAAGGAACCTCTCTTCCCAGGGCTCTCCACTGCTGGGACCGCAGTTTCCACGCTAACCTCCGCATCAACGCCAGCCATGGCAACCACAGCCACCAAAAGCACAAGGCCCTGCCCATGAGGGGCTGTCCTCTACATTTGATTGACAGCTGCCCGTGGCCTCACTGTAACCCCTCCTGCCCAACTATTCGTGACCAGCTGACGGGACAGGAGATGAGCGTGATCCAGTTCCTGAAGCACATGGGCTTTGATGTGCAGAAGATGGCTCAGCAGCAGGGGATGGACCCCAGGAAGCTACTGGGCATGCTCAATAATGGGAAATGAGTCACTTTTTAAAGTAAGCTATTCTGAAATTAAACAGAGGACATCAGGAGCATGGGAGCAAAAATCTCATGAGAAGACTGTCATTTATCAAGTTAACAACAAATGAAACTGACTCAGCATCTGAAAAACAACTTGCACGTGCCTCATGAGTTTTAAAGCTGTTCAAGAGTCAAATAAATTCAAACCAGAGCATCTGAGCTGTTAAAACACACATATGGGATCATGAGCTCGTTTTAACATACAGACAGGTACAAAGCTACAGTATGTTACTATACAGAGGTGTACAGACAAAACACAACCTGGGTGGGGAGTGTATACTGTATATACAGTACACACAGTATGTACTGTAAAATGTTTATGTGAAGCTGAACCTGTCGAGGTGGTCGACAGATAGTCTTTAAAGATCTGATGGGAAAGCACATCCCAGTTTGCTCTGTGGAGACCTGGTGCTCTCTTCTGTCAACCCTAAGAATCACATTCACAAATCCATCTGTGGTGCTGCTGTTCCTGCCCTCCACCAGATATGCTGCTTTTACCATTTTGGAAAAAAATTATTTAATGGGTAATATTTACTAATAATAAAGTAAAAAGATTAAGCTACTTACTTTTGTTTCGGCCACTGTAAAATGCTTGGAAATGTATTTTTCTACTAAAAATATCTTTTATATGTTTTACAGTCGGATACATTCAGCCAGAGTAACAATGTATCTATATATTTAATTTTTATTTGCATGTTTGTAAAAAAAAACAACCTGTATGCTACTAGTACACAGTTTGGTCATATAGTTTCTCAGTGTGTTGAATTTACCAAATGTTTTGTGTTGTAGCAGCACTAATAAATGCAAATACGTACTGATATGATTAAAAAAAAAACGTAATAACAGAAGACAATATAGTTGCATTTCTCACACTAAAAGAAAAACATCTGAAAACAAAATGGAAAAAGAGTATTTTCCACTATCCTGACCCTGACATCCAAAGTTTACATGCAACATACTTACTGATAAAAATTATTTACATCATTAAAAATATGCAGAGTACATACACACTTCTGCACCTGAAATAAAACCTAGTTTTTCACAGTTGATATGAAAGTGCTTTTACTAGAGATGACTAAACTGAAGAAATAAATTCAGAGATGTATCTATCACACTGTCTGGCTGCTCAGGTAGCTTTCTGAGACTCAGACATAACAGAAAACACAGGTGTTCAGTTGCTTCCTCGCTTGTGCCGTCTGTTTTTTCTCCATTTTCTTGAGCAGTCATCCTGTCTATCAACACAGCCAGTGCCAGTGCTTAATTTGTAAATTATAAGGTCCCGGTATTTCTTGGTGATAGACCCAGCATGTCACTGTGAGGACAGGAGGTCCCTGGATGAAAAAGTTGCCTCTGTCACTGGTGCGTAGTTTCCACATAAAGATAGCAGCTTAGTTCTTTCATATGTAAATGAGGCGCCGGTCACAGTTGAGAGGTGCCAGATCTGGAACCGGCTTGTTCTGGCACAAATTAACCCCTGGCTAATGCCTAACAATTTCACTTTGACTTCCTACAGTTTCATCTATATACAATACTGTATAAAGCCGACAGCACGGTTTCACGCTGTTTGTTCCTCCTCTCTACAGCACTCCGGTTGTTAAAATCCAAGTCAAATTTAAGAACTACCAAATGTATACTGTAATACATTTGATTTTGCTTGTATTTACAGTTGTCCTTCGCCGTTCCAGTTATATCCCCAGGTTTTTCCAGCCCTCTGTGCTCAGAGAATTGAGGAAGCTTGTCTACTGGAGACAGAAGGTTTGGGATCTCAGCAACTCGAGTCCTACAGGAGGAAATAAAAGTTAGAGGAATCCAGGATGAACAGATTATAATAACATCAGACAAAAACAGCTACCATAAAGCACCAGAATGTCAAACCTGCAAAAACTGGGCAATGTATGGGCAGCACAAACAAACAGCAAAATACCACACTGACACAGCATCATCTTTTAAGTTGATACAGCAAATTTGCTAGCAAACAGCTACTTATTTACACATCCAGTAGTTTCTGGCCATGTGATGAATTCACTCTCTTTTAGCTGCTACATGCTCCACTGTGTTCACCAGGTTGTTGCTAACCGTGCCTGTCTGCTGTTTGGTGTTGAGCAGGTAGTGTACAGACAGTATTTAGACCTGTCTCTGAAAAGAGCCTGGATAAAAACACTAAGAGAAGAGAGAACGTTGTGCGCTGACAGCTGAACAATGCAATGCAACTTATTATAAAACCAAAGGAAGGTGCAGATTTAGGGGATAATTCTCTGTAGGTTCATTACTACAAGTGACTCGCTTCACAGTGTCCCATTATTTCCACATTGTTATTGAATTTGTTAGAATAAAAATAATTATAGCAGCTTTATAGACTGACCTGACTTTTAACTCTTCGAGTATGGGTTCGGTTTTGCTCATGGATGAACTGCAGGCGAGTGATCAGAAACTTCTTGTCCTCTCCCTCCTGAGCAGAATGAAGAGAGAGGCAAAATATATTTGTACTTGAGAAACATTTCAGTCTGTTTTACAAGTATCTTTGTAATTAGACCAACTGCGAAACAGAGCTGTAAATGACATAGGTGATGCCTCACATTTTCTATGTGCTCCTGTAATAAATTGATAATCTTCCTTTGACCGTCCACCACCTGACTGTGGAAGTAGATGACTATCCTGATGGGAAAAAAAAGACAGAATGGATCTGATCAATACAACCAGCAGTTGAGTCACTGATCCAAATAATATTGCTGTTAATAATGCAGTCTGACAAATGTATAAAGCACACTGATGCAGGATCACCCTGTTGCAGCTGTGTCTGTGTACTCACAGAAAGATGCCTGCTCCCACGAACAGGAACAAAGGGTTTTCCACCAGGTAAGCATGAGCCATGGCCAGCGCAGACAGGTTGGGATTATCTTTTTGTAGTTCTTCCACCCAGCGTTTCCCCGCCTGGAACATGGTTTTGAGCTCGCGGAATGGGCCGCACGAGGTAGAGGGCGTGATGCTGAGGACAGAAGACAGATGTTGTATAACAGGACACCTCAAACATGCAGTTGTTCGGTACACCAGCTTAACCACTGTCCTAATTCAGTGTCAAGGTACTGTATATTAAACTGCAGGTGTCCACGGCACCTCTGTGTTAGCAAATAATTCTCACTGATGAAAACTATCTGGCTACAAACAAGCCTTAAAAATGAGTAATAATCCTATAGCCCACCTTTTTGTCTGTGGTAATGGTCCACGGTGCGAGTGTGTTAACACAGCTCACTGTCTTATTAACACGCTGTGTTAATAAGAAGCTTTACTACTTAGGGTTAAATACCTGCTCATACAGTGCTATTATGGGGGTTAAAAAGCTGGTCCCCAGTCTTAAAAGACAAATGACAGTTATGTTGAGAGGGTGTGTTTTCTCAATACAATCTAGAAAGACCGGTTTGAGTAACAGATCATTGAGCCTGAAGGCTCATCAGATGCCTCAACACTGCACCGCAGTTCATAATGCAAAGAGGTGTGGTCCTACAACCCTGGAAGGTTGAGAATCATTTTATGCTTTTGTCACAGTGACTGTGATATAAACAGCAGAAGCACAGAGTTAACACTGTAAAATAATTTACCAGATTTGCTGTTTGGTTGGTCAGTGCATCAAGATGTTGGATTAGATCGTACTGCACTGTGACAAAATTGAAGCCCACACCCCGTAATGTAACAACGGGGTATAGTGGTTACATTAAAGGACAGGGTAAGTCCACAAGGAATTAATAAATCAGTGCAATATTCAAAGTGACAAAAAGTAGTTTGTGTGCGCGAGTACCTCCACATGGTGTAAGTGACACACACGGAGGCACCAAGGAAAGAGGGGAAGCAGAGCAGAGTGATGAAGATGGTGGTCATCTGGCTGACTCTGTACGGCTTCCTGGGAGCCTGACAGTTCATCATGACACTGCTCTGTGTGGGGAAAAGCACGGGCCGAGGTCAGAGGTCAATGCTTCATCAGATACTGAGGCCACTGTATACAACTATATCCAAGGTCAAGACAGAAAGTCAATTGGCAACAGAAGATTGCATTTGGCAGACATGGAGAGAGATTTAGCAACTGTTACATAAAAAGGTAATATACTATTCAACCAAGATACACATACTACACAGTGTATACAAGACACACTGTACGGTGACATTCAATTTACAGCCAGTCTGTAAGGCAGCCTGTTTGTTTGTGAAGGAACGCCACTCCAGACGATCATTTCATCGCAACATTAAAACCAGACCAGAGGAAAGTAGAGGACTGACTGTTATAAAGTGAACTGACCAAACATTTTTTGGCCTTTCTCCAGTTTAAACTTTTGTTTTGTGCATTTCAACTTAAATGTTTCCTATAAAGTACCTTCTTAATGTAGAAGAGCAGAAAGAGTTTGAGGATCTGCACTGCAGGCAGGAGAGGAGTGAAGAGAACCCCCAACCTGAAAAACAGTTTATTGTCATCACCCACAAAGAACATGACTGGTCTCAGTACGACTGCATGGACATCTCAACACTAAGTTTTGTACCAGGCCAATGTTTGTCCATAGATGAGTTCGAGCACATTCCTGGCAATGTCAAACACTGGTTTCCTCCTCCTCTTCAGCACCTTTTCAGAAAATAACCTGCAAATAACAGGAGAAATGAGATGTTTAACACAAAAAAGGAAGTGAAAGAAATGAACAGAGAACAACAGCTGCAGTGAAGTTAAGTGTGAGGTTCATAGCCCCATTGTTGTTAGTGTCAATACATTTTAGAATTGAAAGAAAACAAGATAAATGACCCACCTCCAAAGAAACTCTCCAAACAAGGTGTCCAGTAGAATGAAGATGAAGTCCATCAGTAGGAAGCGATAAAGCTCCTGGCCGACAAAAGTCTCCCAGCACTGAAGGCAGGATTGTCAAAACAGAGCACAGTGTCAGCCAGTGAAAGAGTAACACACCAAGCAACATAAATTCACACAATCAAGAACAAAAACACAGACACGTGTTTCCTCAACACAGCTGTGAGGAAACGTGTCTGCTCTGATGGTGTGAAAATCAAAAACACGTCTCATCATTAATATTACCGTCAGGCCGATACTTTCAGGGTCAGCAGCCACCCGACCCAGCCAGTGGTAACAGAGCACGGCAAGCACGCTCACTTTCAACATCAGGTTCCTAGAAGACAGACAGAAAACATGTAAACAACAAAATCAGCCCTGCACCTCCTTAAACTCAAAGATGAAGTCGGCGCTTGGAGCACGCAGTTCCCCGCAGAAAACATGTAAACAACAAAATCAGCTCTGCACCTCCTTAAACTCAAAGATGCAGTCGGCGCTTGGCTCACGCAGTTCCCAACCTCATACCTGCTGATGGAAACATATGTGGGTACAGAAGGTGAATCATAGTCCTCCATCCAGGCTGCAAGGTTGAACAGGCCGGGCAGCAGCAGGTTGATGAGCGACACCAGCACAGGCACAGCCAGTAGGCTGGCCTCATTCAGCAGAGGGTTCTTGGCTGCGAGATCAGCCCGAGAGCTTTGCTGGAGGTTCTGTGGGGACACAGTGAGAGCCGAAAACAGATCAGCTGGGTGCAGCTCAGTTTGCAACTAGATAATGTGCTGCAGGTTGTTGTGTCATCTCCCAGCTGTCACAAATTACTTTTTAAAACTATATGTATTTTTACAGATTTGTTTGCTCTAATTCTTTTCACTGCTGCATTGCTCTGAGCCACCGTGTGTTGTTTTAACTGCTACACTAGGAGTCACTACCAGCAGTTCCTTTTAACAATTTACCCACAGCAGCACTGACAAGTCTCTCTGAATTACTCAGATACCAAAGAAAAGCCTGCAGATGTGATGATTCTCAGGCAACTTCTGAGCTCACAAGTGTCTTTTTTCTATGATTTCTCAGGGGGTTTATGGACATCTACTTGAGATGGAGACTGGGGACAGTAAGACCTCTGGAATATACAGACGTAAAACAGAAAGCAAAAAAACCCAGTGTCTGACAGAATATATGGTGGCCAGCAGGGGAACAGGAATAAAGACCATATAACAAAGGACGACAAACAAGCCTGTAGTTAGAGTGTCCACAATAAAAAAAGCTGATCCTTATTAAATGCCGACTTTGGACTCTGATGTCATCCTGCCTCACCTGGTGCATGTATTCAGAGAAGCGGCAAACGCCAAACACACAGGCAGCGGTGTTTGCTATGCAGATGGCCCATGCCAGGCCGTGGACCATCAGTCTCCCCAGCTTCTGACACGTGGTGTTCTGGACACTTTTATAACTGACCTCTGCCAACAGCTCCTGGAAAGGGAGGAGAGAGAGGAGAGAGAAGTAACAACATGAAGGTGAAGAAGGGTCATATACATGGCAAGATGAGGAACATTGTGAGGGAGAGACAAATAAAATAAAATGGAAGAAGAACACAGTAGATCATCACATTCCTCTCTGGCAATTATGTGACAAAAGAAAACAAAGACAGGGAGGTTGTGTCTGTATGTGTGTGTATTTACATGTACCTTGAGCTGGATGAAGATATTCTCAGACATGAGTTTAACAGAGGTTTTCTTGATAACCTTGAAGTCCCAGGAGCAGAAGACCTTCATGGCCAGGATACTGTGAGATTTGTCAATTGTAAAGCTCTGACCAAACGACTTTGACATGCTGTTGGGAGATCACATATAAATGCGTATCATAACGTATAGAAGATTGTTGGAATGAAGCAACTCTGAGGTAGATTTTTTTTATATAAATACTAAACATTATATTGATATATTGGTGTTTAGGGGTGCACTTTCAGCTTTTCTCAAAAATACTTGTGTACCTGTACACGAGGATGATGCATGTGATGAAGAAGGCCACTCCTATGGTGAAGAAGTATGCCAGTGGCATCTTGTAAGAGAGATGCCCCAGCACACAGTCGAGCCTGGTTCCGTTGGACACAGACATATTTGGCTCTCCACCATTGTCCCTGCAGCTCCTGTGCAGTGTGTAATTACAGTAGTATCCATAGTACATTACAGTGTCTGAGAAATAGCCCTGAGACAAAAAGGAGATGGAGACAGATGTTTAATTTTTAGTTCTAACTTTCTATAATACATTATTAACAAAGCGTTAGCGGTAAATAAGAAAAACCATCATTGTGGCCAGCTCACAAAAAGATACATTTGCATCACAGATACTGTAACTTTATTATATTTGGTTTGGTGTCAGTGTTTACAAATTGAATACGATTATTTACCTTTATGACTTAAAGATTTGGACTTTGTATAATAAAACCACAAAGAGAAGTTTAACTCACTGGTTAAAAACTCTTAAGCTACATTTACTATTCTATACCTTTCTCCTCAAAGAAAAATCCTAAATCAATTATACACAAAGATTTTTGCTTGAAAAGTTGCTCAACACAAGACGTACACTTGTTTAAGTTGCATTTTGAACCACGATTACAAATCATGCTTGTACATATTAAAACTTATGGTGAACACGGTTAAAAGTGAAGGTGTGAGCAGAGTTGGGCGCTATGACGTCTTCTCTGCGCATAAATCATTCTGCTCAGTGAAGGTCAAATATCCAAGGGGGCCAGTAAAAGGCAGAGAGGCTGCAGGGGAACTTTAATCTCAGCAGCTTAAAGTAGGCTTTTGTTACACCACATCGATCTAAATCTTCTGATGACACATCCAGGATGTGGTGATGGTTTTCTAAAAACTGAGGCCTCACAGTGTGTGAGAGATGCTACAATAACAGCTCACCAGACACACAGCTTACCGCTCCAGTGAGGAGCTCCAGTCCAGAGAAGCGGCGTCGCCCATCAAGCAGCAGCGGAGGGTGCACTGCCTGAGGCAGCACCAAGAACACACCCGTCACCAGGAACAGGAGGAGGTTGAAAAACAGAAGGGTCTTAAGGAACAGGAAGTATGAGAGGACTGCAGTGCCGAAACGCCCACTCACTCTCTTGAGCGCAACTTGCCACAGCTGGAGCGAGTGTAGGAAGGACAGCCAGCTATACCAGCTGTGTCTCAAAGCCTGGGAGGAAACAGCATGGGATAACAGGGAGAAAGAAAAATCACTGTAATCTCACAAATAACCACTCATTTTCATAATGCATTATACATTACCACTAAGTACCTCTGTGGTTTACTCACAATGTAGCAACAGATGTCCCAGCAAAGTGTACACACGTGTCTGTGATCCTGATATCCATGACTCACAGTCTTGTTTGGGCAACACAGTGGATACACTGACTAACGACATCTCTAGGAAATACGCACTGATACACATTTGCAGCTGTAGGAAAGGATGTGTTGTGTTGTTTTGTGTGTGTGTGTGTGTCAGTGCATTATTGTGTCCCATTCATCATTTGAGCAAACTGATATTAATTCCTGTGTATTTAAGGACTCATAGGACACCTGAAGTATACATTTAATCAACAGTGTCTTAAATTGGAATAGTTATGATGTCACAAATTACATTGGTGAATCATGGAATTAGCCACATATTTCCTGTATTACATCTTTTTTCAGTCACAAACAAAGGAGTGGAAAAGAGAAGAAGACAAGATGAAGAATGATTTTAAACACTGAGGTGTGGACTGTGCACAGGGGCTAAACTCTACTTAACTTCCTGTCTGCTTCACAGAGATACAAACTGGTACAGTATCTAGACACCCTGTCAGAGTGAGAAAATAGTACAAGGAGGAGAGGTCAGACAGAGGTTTCTGGTTGTGTAAGCCACTCACAATTATTATGTAATACTTGAGCTGACTGCAACAGGGGATCCGTCTGCCTGAATGTGAGTGTCTCTCCTTTTGTAATGCTAACCTCCTGTAGACAGAGAGACAACATGGGAAATTCAGACTGATACATAAAAAACACAATTAATCTGAATAGGAGGCACGAGAACAACGACCACATGTACCTGAGTTCACTCTTCTCAGCCACACTGAGAGGCATCGCTCTGAGCATCCGGACCCTGTCGCTCACCGAGAGGTTCTGCAGGTTATTCACCAAACGGTCCCTTTTACTCACTGTAACACACAGAGTGACAGGTTAAGTAATATTAAAACGTGTTAAACATATTAGTTTGTATTCGAGTGTTTACGTTGTCTAATGAGCGTGAGTGTCTCCCCACCCTCTACGCCTTCTGCGTCTGTGATGTCTGCCTCTATGCCGTAGCCTCGTATGCTCGGCCTGGCAGAGCGAGAGAAGTCTCGGATGGAGGGTCTGCTCTGCCTGCGTCGCCGAAGTTGCATCGTTCTGTTGTAGTACTGAGAGATGATGGCTCCTCTGCTGCGGCCTGTAGAGCAGGAGGATCAGATTGCAGAATGCAAACATGACTTCAGGATTTGCTATCTTTATCTCTTCTTTCTGTAGTATTAAATTAAATAATCTGCATCAGCACTAAAGTGGGAGGGGACAGCTGCAACAAAGGCACTCGGCTGGAGTCAAACCAATGTCACTGTCCTGATTACATATATCTTGTGGTACAGCTAAAGGCATCTGACAAAAGCTATCAGGCCATCTTCACCAACAAGATGAAGCACCCGACATGCTGCAAATGCTGACAGCAAGGTGACAAATGCTTACTCATGAAACTCACTTCAACTGGAACTGCATGTCACAAATGCAACCAGGGTAAATGTTAAGCTTCCACTGAGGCCATCCATGCTAACACTGTAACTCACAGTGATGGTTAAGTATGGTGCTATCAAGCATGTTCAACTACAGCAGCTGCCTCTGCACATGCACCATTTCTTATGAAACCTAACATGTCCAATACATACACTTCTCAGCAGCTGTTATAAACAGCCTCCTTCTCAACTACAATACATTTTTCACTGGGCTTTGAATAGGTCTCAGAACACAATGGGTGGTTAGGTTTTCTCAACCTGTCGAGGAAACTCTTCCGTCGTACAGCACACCTGCTGTACCCTACAACATCAGGCGGTGATGTTCCTGCAGAACCAAAAGGTTAGCTGAAAGGAATATTAGATCTACAAACTAACGGGATTTTTTTCTTAATTAGAAACTTTCAGCGTTGTAGTATGGAATACCAGAACAGTCTAAATTCCCATTTTCTCAGGTGGTTCTAAGTGTCACTAAATATCCTCCCATCTGTAAAAACTCACTGAAACAAACAAGCCCTGACAAAAGGGTTTGTCACTCATATGCTCAACAAATGAACAATAACAATACTCTACATGTATCTCATTGTATGCGTCGTCCTCTCTCTGCATCAGTGAATTGTATGTGGCACTCACCGATGGTGCGACTGGGCATGGAGGACAAGACCTTCAAGGTGTCCGAGGACCACTGTTCACCCATGAGGGTGTCTGTCTGTCTTTCATCGTCCTCCCACTCCTCATTCCTTTGATGCTTCCTCCTGTCCCTGTCGTCATGTCTACGCCTGGACAGACGGACCACATTGTCTGTGGGATTTTAAAGAAATTAAACATTAGAACATTTTTACCTTAATAGTTTTGATATTAGAATATGCTGTTTCACTCAACAGCTCATTGTTTTGTAGTTCTAAACACTAGAAAAGGACATTTAAGCCATAACACAATAATATCATAAACCCCTCTCCCAGGACACATTTCTATTCACATGACACCAAACTCCAGACACGCACACATGCATCTGTGTGCTTTCAAACACAACATACCCTGGCCCTCCTCATCCAGATCTCTCTGTAGTTGCTGCAGCTCGAAGGCATCAGATAGTCCTTCGTTATCGCTCTGCTCTGCTATTAGCTGACTGAACGAGTCATGGACAGTGTCCTCGTTCACTGGGCTTCTGACAGAGGGATACACGGATATAAGAACAGAAACAAACACAGAAAAGAGGACAAGACAGGCCAGGTTAGATTCTGAACCGGTACTGCCTTCTGTGTGACCATTTTCCTGCATTATGAGTACTTCAAATCAAAGCCAATTAAAATAGCTGTTTTATCTCAAAGCAAGAAGGAAAAAAAAAACACAGTTCAGTTCCCTTTGACTTAGAACTTGAACTAAGATAGCACAGGAAGAGTACCACACTGAAGGACCTGTGCTGTTTTTAAACGGAAACATTCCCTCAGGAGGGGACAAAGGGTATGCAAACACACACACGCATGTTCAACCAAACATTTTACAAACAAACACAAGTTGTGTCTGTTAAGCCAATGGAGGTCGTAATTCACATGGTGCAAAAGAAAGGAAAAAACATACAAGAACGCCCTGACACACTGTGCAACTCTGATATGCCTTTCTGTTTAGTGTCAAACAAGACGTCAAACAGCACCACTGATCCTTGTTCTCCGCTCACTCTCTGTTTGTGTTGCACAGGGCTACTGTATTAAGCTGACAGCTTGAAACAGCAAACTACATGGGAAAACTGAGAAGTAAAAGAAGTAAAAGAAGAGGAACATGAAGCGACAGAGAACTACTTTGACACTTACTCCAGTCCGGCTTCCAAGAGAGGGTGGTTCAGGTCAAAGGTATGATTTAGAGCCATTCTTCTTCTCCCCCCGACAGAGGGATCACACCCTCACCTGCTCAGGCTTGCACTCCACTCCCACCATGCCGTTTATTCCTATACCTGAGAGGAGGGAGGAGGAGAAACAGAGGGAGAGGCGGGTTGGTGAGTAGGTCGGAGATAAAGTTGGGCGAAACAAAAAAGGTCCTTGGAATTTGAACACTAGTCATGTTACTGCTTGTCATGCACACTCTGTAACTGCATTCTGAGGAAATAAACCTCAAGCGCTGTATACACGACAGATGACTATCGCGCTTCCAGTCTGAGGTTCATTTATGCTTTGCATTAACATGTGATGTCTATCTGGACAACAACAAAAACATGTATGTGTAAAGACACACTACAGCAGGTGAACAACTTCAAATATCACTCTGAATCCATTTGAACAACTTCAAATATCACTCTGAATCATGTGTGCATGCTGTGGGTGTTCGGCACCCTTCTACGTTCAACATGAGGCAACAGTAGGTCATGAAGCTGATCGGTCATGAGGAATTACGTCATGTTGTCCAGACTCATGAAAGCTCCATTGTGACCCGGTTGTGATGAGAGTGAGCTGGCACAGTGTCGCCAGTGGAATTTAAATTCATGAGCAAAGACAAAATAATGAATTGTCAGAGCTGACAGTCAGAGTGTGTCATACTGGTGATTTAAAGGAACAATGCTAGTTCCTGTGCATTGTGTTTCTTTCCATTTTATAAAGCCTTCACATCTACTACCCTCAGTTATGTGCAGCAACTTTCACCAAAGACCCAGCGAGCACATGTCCTGCTGTTTTAAAACATAATCATAGGAGTCGTAAAACAAAACATCAATGGAGTATTGCAGATTCAAGGAAACTGAATCCAGACATCCATTAGTGACCAACAAAACCTCTGCCAGATTTATCCTACACTGATACAGCAGGGCAGCTGTGGATAGATAAAGCAGAACATCTATAAATTCTGCTCTTTGGACATCATCATTTGATCCGAAAATACATCCATACAGACTGCTGTCAGGAGATACTCAATTATTTGTAGAGACAATAAATGACAGTATTAATTATGACCCAGCGGCCCTATTTGAAAGGATGCTGAAACACGCGTTTAGCCTAATGTATCTCAGTTGCTGGACGTCTAAGTGATCAAGTAGCAGCCTCTCTCACTTAAGCTGGATAACAGGTCTAATGACACAACATGCTGTCATTTCTGTAAGTACTATATAAAAAACAACTTAGGTTAAACTAAACACGATATCCACTTCCTGTTTGCATGCACCCACAACAGAAACAGTAGTTCCATGTGACTCATAGGATTGAAATCATCTCTTAAATTTGTTAATAATTGGAATCACAAACACAAATGTTGGCCTTTCAGCCATATAGACTGTACCTACCATGGTGAGGATTTAACACTTTGTAGTACAAAAGGGTAGCTACTTGACCGTACTGGTACCCAATATGTTAGCTAAACTAGGCTAAGCTTAAGAATTTCTCCAATTCTGGGTATGTCTAAAAAAAAAAAATCCCCTTAAACCCATATGTTGCTTAACCACCACCACAGGAACAGTTACACAGTAAGAGGCTCCTCTACCAGTTATATACAGTCTCCACTCATACCCACTGCTCGAGGTGTAACTGTGTAAAAGTGTACAAAGTGTACAGGCAGAGTAACAGCACACAACGAGTGCATGTTTTAGTCATTACACATGCCGTCGTGTGTGAATGTTACATACAACAGAGACCAGACCTTTGTTTTCCTGCATGAATATATATGAGCAGCATACATAAAGCAGGGTACAGCTCTGAATACCAGCCAACACAATGAGCGGCTCCAAAACGTCATTCTACCATCATCATTAGCCTTAATCTCTCTTTTGATCTTGTTCTTTTCAGGCCCTGATCAGACAATCTAATGCACACATCTGCTCATTCTTATTCTCTCTGCAACATATTTTTCCTCTTTGCCTGAGGTTTCCAGCATCATATTACAGTTTTCTGTCCATTTGCTTCTCCATATACTGCTTTTGCTTAATTTCTTTTTGCACAACTTTTATTACATCAGGGCACACGGCACATAGCTGGAGTCACCAGTCACTCTCTACATGAGAGCGAACGTTTAATTTGGCCATGGGTCTTATTTCAAGTGTGTGTGTGTTTGACCACTTATATTAAAGCAGTGCCCCGAGGCTGGACAGACAGAAGAGGATATCGTAGAGGTGGGGAAAGCACCCAACATGGCGTGACGGGGAGTCAGAGAGAATGATTAACCAGAGGAACATTGTGGGTGGGGTGTAAGAATGTTAGCACTCTGTAATAATTCTTTAGTACAGTGTTGTGAAAAAGTGTTTGCCCCCTTACTGATTTCTTATCTTTTTGCATGTTTGTCACACTGTAATGTTTCAGATCGTCAAACAAATTTATATATTAGTCAAAGATAACACAAGTAAACACATGCAGTTTTTAAATGAAGGTTTTTATTACTAAGGGAAAACAAAATCCAAAACTACATAGCCCTGTGTGAACAAGTGTTCGCCCCCTGTCAAAACTTAACTTAACTCAGTTATAAAGCCATTTCTAAAGCTTTGGGACTGCAGCGAACCACAGTGAGAGCCATTATCCACAAATGGCGAAAACATGGAACAGTGGAGAACCTTCCCAGGAGTGGCCGGCCGACCAAAATTACCCCCAGAGCGCAGCGACAACTCATCCAAGAGGTCACAAAAGACCCCACAACAACATCCAAAGAACTGCAGGCCTCACTTGCCTCAGTTAAGGTGAGTGTTCATGACTCCACCATAAGAAAGAGACTGGGCAAAAATGGTTTGCATGGCAGAGTTCCAAGACGAAAACCACTGCTGAGCAAAAAGAACATAAAGGCTCGTCTCAGTTTTGCCAGAAAACATCTTGATGATCCCCAAGACTTTTGGGATCATACTCTGTGGACAGACGAGACAAAAGTTGAACTTTTTGGAAGGTGTGTGTCCCATTATGTGTGGCGTAAAAGTAACAGCGCATTTCAGAAAAAGAACATCATACCAACAGTAAAATATGGTGGTGGTAGTGTGATGGTCTGGGGCTGTTTTGCTGCTTCAGGGCCTGGAAGACTTGCTGTGATAAATGGAACCATGAATTCTGCTGTGTACCAAAATATCCTGAAGGAGAATGTCCGGCCATCCGTTTGTGATCTCAAGCTGAAGCGAACTTGGGTTCTGCAGCAGGACAATGATCCAAAGCACATCAGCAAGTCCACTTCTGAATGGCTGAAGAAAAACAAAATGAAGACTTTGGAGTGGCCTAGTCAAAGTCCTGACCTGAATCCAATTGAGATGCTGTGGCATGACCTTAAAAAAGGCGGTTCATGCCCAAAAACCCTCTAATTTGGCTGACTTGGACTTACAACAATTCTGCCAAGATGAGTGGGCCAAAATTCCTCCACAGCGCTGTAAAAGACTCATGGCAAGTTATCGAAAACGCTTGATTGCAGTTGTTGCTGCTAAGGGTGGCCCAACCAGTTATTAGGTTTAGGGGGCAAACACTTATTCACACAGGGCTTTGTAGTTTTGGATTTTGTTTTCCCTTAATAAAAACCTTCATTTAAAAACTGCATGATGTGTTTACTTTATCTTTAACTAATATTTAAATTTGTTTGATCTGAAACATTAAAGTGTGACAAACATGCAAAAAGATAAGAAATCAGTAAGGGGTCAAACTCTCTTTCACCCCACTGTATCTAAGTCGGGTTGCTAGCTCATTAGAGAACACCAGTCTTTCAAAAAAAAAAAAGGAACTGAGGAGCATGAAAACGAATCAAGATAACATCACAATAAAGCTGCAAGACTGCACAGAAGAGCAGTATAATCTAGTCACAGAGAAATGACTGCCCAACATCACATAAATGAGTGGGAACTCCTCAGAAGGCAGCTTATCAGTAGATATGATGAAGCCAAGGCGTAAAAAGGAAAAGAGGGGTGTAAAAGGAATCTGTCAACCCTGACAGTCTTCAACAGCTGAAAGACAATCAGCCAGGGTCGGTGCTGAGAGAGAAAGAGAGAGAGAGAGGCACAAGGCCACAGTAAACATGGCAACAGACAGAAATGCATTTCACTGTCCTGATGGTTTGAGTTGGGCAGAGTGAGAATGGAAAGAGACAGCCAACCCACACAAGATCAGAAAGCCTGCGTCTTAGTACAGGAAAGCTTGGAAACTAAGAGTCGGGGGGGGGAGAAGTGAGACGTGAGAGGCAACGAATTAAATCAAAGTGAGATGACAAGAGAAACTGCAGATTCAACTAACTTTAAAGCCTGGCATGCAACTACATGGTTACTGGACTCCGAGGCCGTCTCTCCGCCTCCATTTAGAGAGAATGTCACTAATTACAGGTTCAGTGCTGCTTACATCACAGAAACTGGAAACTCTTATATGTAGCACAAATATTTATCTAGACGTTCTGACTAAATAGAAGAGTACAAACACAAACCCAGTCGCTGAAAAGTTCACAACCAAAGCTCATCCAGCCGAGATGGTGACTGTACGTGTGCAGAAGTCCCAGCTGAACAGGTTTACATCTCAGAGACACGGACAAACTGCTGGCGTTATAGTGTGTTCCTCTTCAAACACACACACACACACTCGTCGACTAGATTACACGTTACACGACTAACTATAGTAAATGGCGACTGGCTGCGGACATCATTCTGCCAGTGTTTCCTTAAGTTGATAAAAGTTTACATGTGAGGAGACAACAAATGCGATCTAAAAAACAAATAAACAAACCAAGAGCTACTTAGATAAGGTAGAACATCAGCTTTACAGCTGTACGAAGACTGTAAAAAGTTGTTCACTCACCTGGTCGGTAAGTTGACAAACTGTTGCCTCCCCGTTCGCCGTATGTCAGTCAAAACACAAGAGCGACAGGACAATGGGGAACAAACCACTGTCACATGGGGGGGGGGCACTGGGTTTCTACTTTCTAAACACGGAGCAGTAAAATCAAGAGCTACATTTTCGGTTACATGCGACATTTACAATTAGGATATAAATATCTCTCCAAAATATCTGAATGTATTCACTGGCATTATCTTCCTCCGGTAATGTAATTTAGCCCCCCCGCAGAGTTGGGATTAATGGTTCAGTCCTTTTGGAGGCTTGAAATTTTGCCACCGGCTTTCGTGTGATACAGTTCAAACATAAAGTGAGTCAGTATAAGCCAGTATAAACACAGTTTATGTTTCAGCTAATCGACCTAGAAAGTATCTACAAATGCTAAGTCCACACTACAAGTTAAACAAATGTAAGTAGGGTCAAATCCTGATGTAGCCTAGATAAAAGGTGTCTGGTTGTATGGCTACAGATGTCCTGGTCCTTCCTTTTGACTCATCTGTTCATGCTTGACCACACCTAGGCTGTCTCTAAAACCAAAGGCAGGTTGTTTGCACAATGACCTGCCTCATCTTACAACAGCAAAGGACGTAACTGGCTTAGGGCGGCATGGTAGTGCAGTGGTTGGCGCTGTCGTCTACCTGTACCTGCGAGGGTCTCCAGAACCTATTCTGTATAAGTGATGTAGATTATAGATGTATTGATTTCAACGTAATACTCGACACAGGTGATTTACATGTCACTATTTTCAGTTTTAATTTTGATTTGACGTACCGTCCCAAGTTTTTCTGCAGCAGTGGCAGTGTAAGAACTTTGTTTAATCCATAATGAATAAAGAATACTTTTGATAATTATAGTACATTTTCTTCTAATATCTGTATGTAATATGTACCTCTACATACAGTATATCATTTTAAATTAAGGACTTTTATGTTGTATTTTTACCTGTTAGATTGTATTTTAAGAATATCTGAAAGTTTCTTCCACTGTTGCATGTCCAGTGTGTGCTTGAATTGAACTGAGCAAAAGAAGCAGGTAACGAGAATTCTCTTAACACTACAGGTGCTGTGTATGTCTATGTAAATAAAAATTACCTGTGTATTTTAAAGTCTAAGCAGAACTGAAACTAAGCATGTCAAATACGCCTACCTTTCAAGAAATGAAGCCCAAGATCATGTTTCTTTGTAAATGGTACTGACTAAAAGCCACATATCTTCGTGTGGTGTAGCCAGTGGGTGCAAAGAGCCTTTCTGCTTCTTTATCTCATACATTAGATTCTCACTTTGGTTTCTAAATGATGAAACACTACCCAGTGTAGAACCTGTTTACTGTCAAACACATGAAAAGCTGATTTTTTTTTTTTTTTAACATACTGCATGTTTAAGGGAAAATTAGCTTATGACTATACATTTATTTAAATATCTTAAACTGATACTTGATGATAGTTAAAATTTTAATTTGAAACCAAATGTATAGCATTGTACCTTAGTGGATTTCAGAGACAAAGTCATCTGAAACCAACCAAAAACATTAGATAGTACTTGAACAGAAAATAAAGTTAAGCTGTTTAAAGATTAAAAAAGATATTGACCAGGTGCAGCCTGAATCCAGACATCATCTAATTGTGGCCTTCAAAATGTCCTCTTTTCTTTTCAGTCTAGTTGTACGTGTGGAAATTTCTTGTTATATTGTGCAATTACTTGTAGCATTTTCAGCCTGAAGTGCAACGCCTGTGTCTCCATCCTGTCATGTGACTTCCTATGAGCTGTCAGATCAGTCACAATGTAGACAGACCTGACATCTACTCCACAGGACTAGAGAAACACCTCCAGATCAGCCCCTCGGGGGTCTTGACTTCAGTGTGACGCAGCTTCCTGCAGTGAGCTGCAGGAAGCTGGATATTTTCCTGCAGATTGCGGAAGTTACTTTTTTAGAACTTTAAGTTGCAGTCTGTTAGCATACATTTATATGAAGTCAGAAGATTAAGTGTTGGAAAGTTTGTTACTAAGGAGGAAGTTCAGGGACAAAAATGGAGGAGCACGAAACTGTCAACTTCATGAGACTCTTATCAGGTAACAGAAAATAATACAAATGTGCATTATACTTTTGTAAGTGGGTGTTTAAGAGACAACATCTTTCTTGATCAAGTTTCTCTGTACATATAATTTGTGAATTATGTGGTGTTACTCTGAATGATACACTTAATAGTGCATACAAAGATTTTTCTGTCAATTTGAAAAGAGCCATAATTTTTTTTTACTGTATTTTTGGAATTAATTAGATTGATTAAGCAAAATCTGTAATTATCTTGTTAACTGAACAACAGTTTGACTTTTTCAAGAAGAAATGCCAAACATTTGTTGGTATCGGCTTCTAAAATGTGAGGATTTGCTGGTTTCTTCTATTCTATCTGACTGTAAACTGAATATTTGGGGGTTTTGGTGTGTTGACTGAACAAAAGCCATCAGAAGATGTCACCTTCCACCATTTTGTCACATTACAAATGATTGATTAATCAAGAAAATGTTCTACAGATGAATAATACTGTAATTGTTAACTGCAACAGTAAGTACAGCTTGTAACAGAAACTGAGCTCAGTAAAGCACCTTGTATGCAAACATTCACTTTAATCTAGATTCATGCGTCATGTTTAGGAAATCATTTGTGTCCTTCTCACCACAGATGAGAGCACTCAATCTACCCTGTCCTTGGATTCCTGTGAGTACTATCAGATGGAGATATTCGACCAGCTGCCTAGTATTCAGGCTTCCCGGCCCGAGCAAAACAAACGAGGTGTTTTGGAAGCATGTGAGGACTACCAGAGTGGCACAGAGGTGGAGGAGAAGTGGAGCCATGGCCCTCTGCTCAAAGAACCCAGAAGAAAGAGAGACAAGGTGTCTATGCAGCCACTCAGGAACCTGGCCATGTGTATTCAGGCAAAAAGAGATGCCAGGTGGGACAGCCTGTACACTCCTCCAGCAGCCTTCTTCCAAATCTATGTCTTTGCTATTCTAAAGGAAAAGGTTCCTGCTATCACTTACACAACATGTAGTATTATGGAGTCAACCCTCTCATTCTCATTTATGAATAAACAGTAGACAGTTATCACATAATTCACATGCAAGTGTAAGTAGAAAAAAATAATATATTTTTGTGTTGCAGGCATATTTTTATTCATCTTTTTTATCAACTCAACCCTCAACCCCAACAAGATGTATTATTATTCCCAGTTTGAAACCACTGCCACAGAGAAATATAAAAAAATAGCATTGATGCTTGTTTGTCTTCCATCTCTAAAAATGACCTATTAAGATTCTGTCATTCTTCTTTCTGGGTTTCTTTCAATATTAGTTGTTTTAAATCATTTTAACTTTACCAAACCCAGCCTGTACTGCAAGACAGAGCTTACCATCATGCCTTTATTGATGGCAGGCAGCTTCAAGCAGCTGAGCGACAGGGGTATTCCACTAATGAAGTATTGCACTCTCATAATAAATGTGGAGGACTAGGCTCCCCAACAATAATGCAGCTCTGTGTCTGCCTGGCAAACACCCATGTCTGAAAGACAGTGCTTTTGATTTTCAGTTTATTTTCAATATTATCATTATTACTGTTAATTAAATAATTAGTTAAACTTTTTTTTCTGGGTGGGAAGCTGAGGTGCAAGTGGGTGTGAAATGTGTATAATTTTGTTTTTGTTACTAAATTTATAAATAAAAACAAAGCATTCATAAAATACTGTATTTATGTTGTTAATTAGGGACAGGAGGAAAATGCAAATCAGCAATATTGGTTTTTGGGAGTCCTGGAGGCGGAGCCAGAGCATCGCCAGAAAGAGGGTGTGGGCACAGATGGGAGGAGCTTTAGCAGGCCTGTTGCCATGGCAGCACACTCTCCACGCCATTGAAGGCAAGAAGTGAACGCAGTCAATTATTACAAAACATGCACTTGTACTGACACCTGTCACTGTCATTTAGTGAGGGAATAACCACTCTACACTTCAGTGTTACTGCACAAATAAAATCCTAATGTTCAGTGTTGATCTGTTCCAGGCAGGTTTGGAATAGGCGTGAAGGCCTATTTTGTTTTCCTCAGATATCTGATCTACTTGAACCTGCTCCACTGTGCTCTTATCTGGGGTTTCATTCTGGGGCCTACAACATTTTATGGCCGGAGCAACAGCAGTGGTGAGTCAGCTGTAATAACAGATTACACTAGTTAACCACAACTGGACGCAGACTCCTAAGAATACACTGTTGTGTGTCTATGATTTTACAGAACCGTTGAAGTTTGGAGCCAATGATTCCATTTTAGATTTCTTCCAGGGGTCGGTAAGAGTTTACTAGTCTCTGTGTGCTTCATGCTTTCTTCATGTGTTTCTTTTAATTAATCTGTCTCCTCTCCTCTCTACAGGGCTACTTATATCGGTCCCCAGTGTTCTTTGGTTTTTATACACGCGGTTCCCTGAATTTGCCATGCTTAAACACCCCTTTGCTGTACTTTGCTGGAATTCTCACCATCCTCTTCCTCAGTCTCATCATGGTGACCCGTAGGTCCGTGGTCTGTGACAATACAGTCATCTGCTTTACATCTAAAAGAAAGTGTCTATATTTGATGTGTTCATCTCTAAACCTCTCTGATAGAACGATAGTGGGCTACAAGCACACCTGGTTGCTCGGGAAGCGTTACAGTATGAATGTGAGCTATAAGATCTTCTGTGGCTGGGACTTCACCATCCAGGACTCTGCTGCAGCTGTTCTCAAACACAGCTTCATCAGGAATGACCTCAAGGTGACCAGATAGACATGCATAATGAAGTTTACCACCTCCACTGGCCAAATGCTATGTAGACACTTGGGCATAATATCTGAAGCCTCTCAGTATAATGCAATACATTCAGCAGCCTCCAAAACTGCCATATAGTTTAATCAGCATCTCTTAATAGCAACATAAACTGAACATTATCACTTGCACGAAGGTGGGATTTACTGCAGAGCTGCTCTGTTAGACCACATTCAAATTACCTAGGTTTACAGAGTAAACTTGTAAAATTGTAAAAATCTTCATAAATATAATGAAATAGAAAATTTTAAAGAACAAAATGATGATAATGATGGTACAGAACATTAGTAATACACAGTATTCACACATTTTCTATTAGCATTAACAATGCTGGTAAAAAATTAGGGGGTGGTTGATTTTATGTCTCCACCAGCCTCTGTGCATGATTGACACTGTCCCATCCTGCTTCTAAGTGTGCATCAAACAAGTGAACACACACACACGGACCTGTGCATACCTGTAAAGGGAGAAAACGACCATGCATGCAGTATTGGTCGAGGCAGTACAATTTTAGTGTGCCTCATTACACTTTTATAAATAAGTGGAGTACTTGTGTTTCAATCCTCTTTGTAGAGTAACCAGCTCAAAGGTAAAGTATAAATGTTCATTCCTGTCATTATGATATATTTTTGACCACCTGCTTTCAGTTTAGACACCTCCCCAACATGTCCCACTGCTTTTTAGTCCAGGAATTATGCTTTCATGACATTTCAGCTTTATTTAGGATTTTTCTAAATGAAACTTTGTGGTTAAAGATAAGATGTGTGTACAGTCTACTCTCTTGTTTACTGTGTATCTATTAGAGATTTGATATTTTGATGGGTTTTGTTTCGAAGCTGTTGATTTGTGTACTGTAGAGTTTCACAGTCGTTCTGTATTTCTTGTGCTGTAACCTCAGCTGTTCCTTGAGGAGCAGAGTTTCTCCCTGCGCGAGGCTGAGAGGACGCTTGGACAGAGAATGCGTCTTTACCTGCTTAGGCTCGTCCTTAACATGCTCGTTCTGACTCTGCTGAGTGCAGCCTTCTGCCTCATCTGGTTTGCCACTGGAAAATCAAAGGATGAGGTAAGGTTTTGATGCCGATGATCTTTTTCTTATATAGTATGTTCTGCATTTGGTGACTAGATTCTTGCATGTGACTCTCCTTACTGTGTTTCTTAGCATAGGCACAACTGGTTGGTCAGTCTGTTCCTCCAGTATCTCCCCCCCATCACCATCACCTTTGTCAACCTGTTCCTTCCTCATGTCTTCCATATGATCTTGTATTTCGAAGACTACTCCATCACCACGCAGGTCAATACAACACTTGTGAGGTAAGCTACAAAGGCAGATAATAACATAAAAACCTATTGCACGCGCTGACACACAAACACACACACACCTGCATCGATTCACTCTGTCTTTTCTTCAGGAGCATCTTCTTGAAGTTGGCCTCGCTGGGAATCTACTTATTTTTTTTTATCACACTGGCAGAACACCAGAAAGTGAGTTGAAAGTGAGATGAATGTTGCAAGGTTATACAGACTGAGCTGTAATGAGACATTAATAAAATACCTGTCTTTGATTCAGGCTTTTATGACTGATATGTGATTTCAGGTAGATGTTTATGCTTTTTTAACCACATTTTTCCTGTTTTTCTCTACAGCATGAGTGCAAGGAGAACCAGTTTGGTAGAGAGATATACAAGCTGTGCATCTTTAACTTCCTTGCCACGTTCTGCAGCGCCTTCCTCTTGAACTACCCCAGAAAGTAGGTTTGTTTAAGATCAACAGTCTTTTTCTTTCTTAGTCATCATTGCGGTTTGAATGGAAAGATCAGAGCTTTTGATGTCTTTCACGAGCATGCTCCATAACAGTCGCGAAAGATTGAATCTGAGTTATTCTACATCCTCAAGATTGATGAACTTCATAAATAAATACGTGTTTGTCTGTTTGTTTGACAGGTTGTTGCAGGAGAAGTACCCTGGATCCTTGCTGGCCCGGTTGTTGGGAAAACAACAATTCCTGATTCCTTTGAATGTGTTAGATCTGGTGTACAGTCAGACAGTGACCTGGGTGGGAGTCTACTACTGCCCTCTGCTGCCTCTGATAGGAACTGTCATCTTGATGGCCACATTCTACATCAAGAAGGTTGTCTGCAACATGAAAGTTACAAAGCATCTGCTGTACATGAGCTGTTTAAAATTGTTTTTGTGTTTCTCAGTGCTTCAGTCCAGTTCAAAAATGCTGTACCTGAATAAGAACAAGAACCTAAAACTATATGAAATGAACACAGAAATTACACAGTGGGAAGAATATAGAAGTGCCAAGGCAATGATATAAAAATTATGAAATAACACAACAAATGACATAAATACACAACAGTAAATGATGGTTACAAAGAGTGAAAAGAGGTGACATCAGTCAAGATTGTGAGATTCAACTGGATTTACAGTATATTGTTTGTTCAGTGAAGTAATGATTTCCAACTGTTTCCAACAAATTGAATACCTTCAAAGATTTTTTTTTTTTAGCTTTAGGAAAATATGCTTACTACCTAAAGTTAGTGGAGAACACTGACACCACTCTCATTCGTCTATTAAATATGAAGTTTGGACCAGAAGCTGGTTAAATTAGTTTAGCATAAAGACTTGAGGGGAGGGGAGGATAACAAAATATACCTATCATCATCTGTGAAGCTCACTAATTAATGTGTTATATCTCATGTAATCTGTAATCTGCTTTAAAAATGTTTTTTAGTTCTATAAGAGGTTATATGTTAGACTATTTCTAGGCTGGATGCAGTAGAACACCCAGCACCTGGAGTCCCGTCTTGTGAAGAAGCTAGACAACCAGTGGAGACTTTATGAAGTCGCTGCACATGGACAAGGAATAGTCTGACTAGAATAGATTTAGAGTTAATGGTCGATGGAGTTTGTTACCTTTAGGCACATGCAGGCTAGCTGTTTTCCCTTGTTTCCAGGCTTTACATTCAACTAAGATGACTGGCTGCTGGCTGTCACCTCATATTCCTGGTTACAAATGTGAAAGTGGTATCAATCTTCTCATTTATTTCTGTCACTTATTCTCCTTGGCTCCAGTTTATGGTTTATTGTTCTGCAGGGACAGATAAAGTTGTAACCATGAGGGCGTAATGACCTCCAACTGTATCTGAACAGTGTCCGTCTGTGTGTCTCTTTAACATTGTCTCCAGTTCACAGTCCTGCGGTGCTGTACGCCAGAACAGCGGCTGTTTCGAGCATCCAACTCCTCGGTTTTATTTCACTTCATGTTGCTACTCGGTCTCCTCATGGCTGCAGTCATACTGGGCTTCAACCTCTACCAGCAAGAAGCCACACCAGACAATATGTACTCTTCTTACTGTAACTCTGTTATTTACTTTGACAGTTGTTGTTACAACCAAGATATTTTAGCCACTACAAGACTGTCCACATGTAGCTGTGTTAATTTTCAATGCACTCTATTTGTTTATTATTTACTTTTTTCTATTGCATGTTTCTCCAGTGTATTCCTCTTGTTTTTGCCCCAGGTCCTCCTGTGGTCCGTTTAGAAACAGTGAGACCGTGTTTAATGTGACAGCAGTGTGTGTGGACAGTCTGCCCAGCTTGGCACAGAGCACTCTCCGCTACCTGGCATCTGAGGCATTTGCCCTGCCGCTCATCCTAGCTGAGATGTAAGTATGCAAAGAGACAGTAGTCTTAACTTCATGTGACAGCAAACAACAGCTCTGGTTTTCAAATTTTCTAGTGTGAAGGAAAACAAGCATACCTTACTCTAAGACATTCAGACCTTAGGGTAGGGGACCTAGAGGCACCATGTGTGCAGTAAGTGTCATCAATGAATATGAGCTGTTTTAAAATAGACATAATCAGCTTTTTTTTTATGTGACATGAAACACGTTCTGTTCCCTCAGTATAATCTTAACCTCATATGTATCCCGTGGACGAGCCAATCAGAAGGCCATCGAGAGGCTGAAAGAAATGCTGGTTATGGTAAGTCACGTGTCACCAAACAACCTGCAAACTGCTCACAGAAAGAAAGTAAGGATTTACTTAGGAGTTACACCCAGCTGGTTGCAAGTGAATCATTCATACTGGGGTACATTGGAGTGTTATGTTTTTCTGCACATGTTGTGTTTAATTATTTGTATATGTCTCTCCCACAGAGCAGCTCAGATAAGCGCTTCCTGGTGAAACAGCATGCCACAATGCTCAGACGTAAAAAAAACAACTTGCAGAGACCGTTGTGAAGCCACCAAAGACGGTGCGCCTGTGAGTCGCTGCAAAAGCCCCCTCCCCTTATATATTCTGATAAAAGCGTCCAAGCTGTCACATCTGTCCGTCCACAGACACCCACTTCAAAATAAAGCCTTGCTCTGGCTGACCACAGCTGGGTGGAGGCCTGGCGGCTGAAAATAAAAAGCCAAAGGACTGACGAATGCTCATTTTCCCAGTAAAATGTTACACAAAGATAAGAACTGCAGTTTTTACATTTTTCTGCAAAGGCTACAGCTGTTTTAATTTACAGTCCACTTAATCTCAGTCAGGTCATTTTTTGTGTTCATATATTTTAAAGATTACTTTATGTTGCTTGTGAGTGTGTTAAGCTCGAGTTAAACATTTCATATAACTTTTTTTTTTTTTACTTTATTCAGTGTAAAGAAAGAATTTACACACTTGAATACATTCATAAATGCATAAACATAATACTGTATGTGTAGCTCTGTTCCAAAATGTCACTTTGCCTGGGAATGTTTTTCAAATGTAATTCTCATTAAAACCTTTATGGTTTGTCCAGTTTAAGTTTTATTTGTGTTCCTCATTACACATTTCTTTAAAATGAAGCTACAGTTGCAGCCTAGTAGTTATCTACACGCAAACACATGTAACACCCCTAGCCCTGACACACACACACACACACACACACACACAATCAAGCAAAGATAAATACGGAGCACTGTTATGACGAATCTTCAGGCTCTCTGTTTGTTGCCAATTTTGGGTGAGTTATTGATTTTTATTCTAAACACCTGCATAAATAAATTATTTATTGAACTCATACACTTACTACAAATGTGTTTACTTTTTTTTCCAGCCCTGGCAAACATGTTTGTCAAGATAAGTAAGTCTGTGTGTGAGATATAGAGCTCAGCTTGTTGAGAGCTTCAGTTTGTCCTTTCTGATTTAACTAGTCAAATATTTCCTTCAGTGTAATGGTGATGGTGAATAATAATATCAGGAGCGTTGTATTCTCTGATCTCATGGCATTCATTCAAGTAAAATAAAATAATTTGGTGGTTATGAGTAATTTTCAGGGCCCCACCCAAAATATTTCAACAGTTTCATATCTCTGTTTAGGTGGATCAAGCTCTATTCACCCAGAGCTGACAGGTCCTGACATGGCCTACCTTAACTCCAGAGTGGTCTTCAACTGTAGTACACCCAACTACCCGCTGCCAGTCACCTATGAGTTGATAAGGGACAGTGGTGTCCGTATCGATGTAAGGATGAATCTCCAAAGGGACCAACCTGCATTGTTCTCCCTGAAGGTTTCTGCAACATCAGAGGGGTCATACCACTGCAAGGCGACAACTAAAAGAAGCACAGGAGTCAGCAACAGCATCAGGCTGAGTGTAGTCAGTGAGTACCAGACACTTGTATATTTACAAACCTTCCCAAACTTGACCTGCTACTTTCCTCCCCAACCATCTATCATTCTTTCATTTCCAGCTCCAGCATCAAATACCAGAGTGACTTCTGAACCCTTCCCCCCAGTTGCATATGAGGGGTCACGCGTCATCCTGAGCTGTGATGTTGCAAAGGGTTCCCACCTCTCCTACACCTGGTTTTTCAACAAGCAGGAAGTAACATCTTCAGTCTCTCCCTTCTTCCACCCCACTGGGAACAAGCTAGTCATGGAGATGGTGACTCCAGAGCATGCTGGGTGGTATTACTGTGAGGCTTGGTCCATTGTGCAGGGCAATAAGAGGGTTTCTAGCAGCACAGTGGTCCAGGTGACAGTTAAAGGTAAATATAAATGCCTGCCAGAAGGTGGAGGTACTGAATAATTCATTAAAGTTTGTAACTGTGTTTGCTGCGTAGCTCTATGGATGGCAATATCTCTGAAATATCTCAGCAATCACTGGAGAGATTGGCATGAAATTTGGCTCAGATGTTCATGGTCCCCAGAAGATGAATCCTACCACCTCAGGAAGTCCTCCGACCGTACTCTCGAGTGCCACCATGGTTGGCTGACACAGTGAAATGCCTCTGCAGCTCATTGCAGGACTGCTGTGAAACACTGATGTCAGCTTCAGGATGAATGGTGATAATTTTGGTGTTGATTCCATTTAGCGTCATCAT